GGGCCGTGCTACTCAAGTCGGCCATGGGGTTGCGTTGTCGGTCCAAAAGCATGAGAGCGGAGCGGGCTTGGAGAAAAGTGGGCAGCGGATCCTGAAATTGAAGAAAAGACGTCTGGGCTTGCAAATCATCGGGGAGACCACGGAGCATCTGAAGAACCAATTGATGTTGGGACACCGGGGCATCCACATCGTCTAGCCAGTCTGCAAGATTTTGCAGATGTTGACAGTAGGCCGCCATAGAAGTGTTGCCTTTGACAGTGGTACGGAACTCGTGCTCGAGTTGCATGGCACGAGCATTCTTGTTGTCGTGAAAAAGATCATGGATAACTTTCCAAAGAGCAGAAGCGGTGGAGACAGATGAGATAACCAGATCCGAGACTTCGTCGGAGATGGTGGATAAGATCCATCCCTGGAGGAGAGCGTCAAGTTGGAGCCACTCATCGTCGTCTTCGGAGAGAGGGACGATGGAGCCATTGATGTAGCCTTGGAGATTGAATCGGCGAACCAAGAGGAGGAAAAGGCGACTCCACTTTTTGTAGTTCGGTTGAGAGAGACTAAGAAGAACCGGAACGTGGAGTTTGACGTTAAAGACCGTCGTGAAGGCAAGATGAGGGGTTTTCGCCGGGGTAGAGTTGGAGGTAACCTCGCTTTCGGCCATTGAAGAGAGGAGAGAGAGCCGAAGGGAGAGGGGGAGGGAGTGCCGCCGCTGGGACTGCCGACGTCGAAGGAGGGACGGCGGCGCGGCGTTGAGTCTGCCGCGGGAGAGAGGGAGAGCCGAGAGGTAGGGTTAGGGTTTTTTTTTTTGTTTAATTAGGCTCCGATACCATGAAGAATTATGATTTTCATTGATCAAAAGAGTTGTGATTACATGTATATATATAAGAGGAGTCTCAATCCTAAACAAGGTAGGAGAGACACAAGTAAGGAAACCTATACAAATTAGGTAAGGGAATAATACAATATATTAAATATATACAATATATTTAACACACATGGATGAGTTGGGAGTGCAAGAATAAATGTAGAAGTTTGAAACAAAATACTTCTTCCATCCTAAAAAATTATCGAACTCTGTCCACAAATTAAATATAATTTTAAATAATTAAATATTGAGTATAAAAAATAAATATATCTAAAGTATATTATAATTATACTTTAGATATATATAAATTTTATATAATTACATTATAACTATATATATTTTTCTTACTATTTATGATCAAAGTGTCGCATAATTTAACAAAAAAAATTAAACTATAGTAATCTTTTCGAAACACAAGGGGTATGGGTATGGAAATGGAGGGAGTATATTTTAGCCTTATTCTCAATATTTTTTCGAACCGCATGTGGATTATTGGGAGGCTACATAGACGATGGTTACAGAAGGTTCGTGTGTGTGGGTGTGTGGGGTGGGGGGGGGGAGGGAAACCAAGCAAGAATCAACGATGGGGATTTTGCCGATTGGAACAGACTCTGCAAAGTAATAAAGTGTACATCTTTTGCCTTGTGGAAGAAAAAAAATTCAAGAGCCGGCCTTCAAATATAACTGCCACTACTGTTTCTCCATTTTCCACTATGTGACAATGGCAAGGCTTGTGCATTACAACGCCGCGGGCGCCATGGGAACTGCCTCAGGGACCTAAGCTAATCCATAATATAGTCTTTACATAAATTATGATTTTAATACATAATTTTAAAACTCTTTTTTTTCTTTTCCGGAACTAAAGCTGCGCAGAAAGGATTTCGTTCCATGTATCAGGAATGCCCGGTAAGCACCAATGCAAGCAGTCGTTAATGCCCCTCGCGGAGGCTTTCAAGCTGTAACGGGAGATGTGGGCCTCATCCCTTAGTTCAGAAATGGCAGTTATGTCCAACACTCTTACTCTGGTGCCCTTAACAGCACCCGCAATGGCAGGGTCATTTGAGTCATCTTGCCACACTCCACTCCCCTTTGTGAGTGGAGTGGTGTTATCACAGTTACCTCCGGTGTTCCACTCCCCATTGGAGAAATGTCTTGGGGAGATTGTCCGAAAGAAGACCTGAAGCTGCGGGCGCACTTCAATTCTGCCCTCAAACCATCTCACTATGCTGTGGACAGTGAAATTTCTGGCATTGCCCACAGCAGCAAGTTTGCTGTTGCGAACAGGGGCCCCATTCACATGCATCACCCATCTGTTAGCATTGATCTTTCCTCTGTTCCAGTGGTGACCCGTGTTGAGTACCACGACATCAAACTGGTCAATGTAAGTGGCCAAGAAGGCGGGGGGTTGATCCAAATGCATGGCGAATTGAGTGGCAGGGTCAGTGATGTTGAGAGGCTCTATTCCACACAGACTCGCTGACCAGTAATACAAGATTGTTGTGTTGGTACTAGGTAACCTGAATGCCCATCCATCAGGACGCACAGCACCAGGTGGTGTCACTAGACCATAATTCCATCCTACATCTTCAACCTCCGGTCGGTTCTCCCCACCTGTAACCATGCACATCAGTGATTGGAACTGCTGTCTTCCCAATGAATCTCCAACGAATGCAATGGTTTTGTCCTGCATTCTGAAATACGGTTACATTTAGGTCTGAAACCTCTTTTGCTGCAAAGTTTGTAAGTTTTAACAGCAATTCCCTAGCGGTTGCTAAAGATATTGTGTCTCATATGGGTAAAACATGGGCAAAATTCGCATTTTGGATTTCTTATGTTCAGAGGTGACCCCATATGTTGTTTCGTATTTATAGTTAAATGAATTTTTAAAATCAGTAACCTAATACCGGTTGGAATTCAGTATATGTTTTATACCTAGTTAGGAAATTAACCACACTTATACTATACAACCAATTGTACAATGCTCTATTGAGGTAAGGTTGTTACATCTTGACCCTAAAGACCCTAAAGTGTTAGGATTATACTGGGATTTGTTGTTGTTGTAACAGCTACGTGTTGTGCGGCTATAAAACTTCATCGACGCTCACAAGTCACAATATGAAAATGTGTCGAACAAGCCCTGGTTTGATCGTTGATGAAACATGAAACTTCTTTTCAATAAAAATGCACTCCAGGTAAAAGTATAATTACAAATTGAAGACGAAGAAGAGGAAACACACGCACACACCTCTTTAAAAACTTGGATCTTTCAAAATCTGGCATCTCACATATTTCTGGTTGCCACCTATACCCCTCGTAAGAAAAGTCCGTACGTTGGGTCAGCCTACAAGCCCACATATCAGATAACCACTGTTTGCAGCCCAGACCAGAATACAATGGTCTCTTACTGTCTGGAACCCATTTTCCTCTAGCATAATTACATACTGTGCAAAAGAAAAGCATTGAAGATGAAATGTAAGTCTTCTTTCATAAAGTTGGAAATAATATTCCCATAAGATATGTAAGTTGAAATTTGTATGTAAGGTAAGCATTAAAAAACTATGGTCTCTTACCTCCTTTCCCGTGATCGGGCGTAGGAAAAAATGAGATTGTCGCATTTGTTCTGGATGCACCAATTTTATTTTCTCCATTTTCAGTTTCTGCTATATTAGAATGTGAATATTCACTAGGCTTATCATCCTCTTCCGATTTTTGTGGCAGCAGCGACGTATCAGCATGGTCCTCAACCACAAACCCTGTAAGTGGTATCAAAAAAAACATTTGACTAACAAACGGCAGGAAATCATCACATTTTGGAATAGAGAATGGCTCCACAAACAAACCTGAGGACTGCATTATAAGCTCATCATCAGATACTAAACTAGTGAGACTTGGATTTTTCTCACAAAACCAGAGGACTATGGTTGTGAATAGGATAGCAGCTAGGGTTAGAGAGAATCGTTTTCCCCGAAATCTCCCAACATTGCCTCCCTTCATCTGCTCCAAACACAAATTATCTTCCTCTAATGAAGTTTCAGTTTTGATCTAGATTTCAAAAACTCTACCTCTGCAAGTTTCAATGAATTTATACGGAGTATAATAAATCAGCATACCAGATGAACTGAATCATTGATCATTTTACACATTTTACAAAAAATAAAATACCCTATTAAGAAGAAAAATTAACAGCAAATCTGATGTTCAATCAACAAAAAATAGAGCAATTCTAAGACTTCAAAAAAAAATGTAAACTTCGCATTTAGCTTAAATTATTGAAATTCCCAAAAGATACTAATAATGGATAGTCACAGAACAGATTCCAATCTTTCTGTAGAATCTATATTTTTTTATTACAAAAAAAGAGGCCGGAAACGAAAATGTCAATTAGAATGCCAAAAATGGCAAAACTAAGGTTATGGAAACTAGGAATGAAAGGGATGTAAATATCGTCATAATAAACAACACATAGAAAGAATATAAAGTTTTCTGAAGCGGTAGGGAAACACCGTACCTGGAGATAGATCCGCCGAGCTACCGGCCGCCGACAAAGGCAGATCGCCGTGGGAAATGCAACAACCGCAAACACATACGCGTGCATACATTTATCATATGCGATGCATATATTGTATGGAAGACAGGAAATCAAAATCTGGGCAATTTGGGAAGATGATCTTCTGGCTTATGCACGTTACGGTTGGTCGGATATAAACTATAAAGTCGAAGTGGATGTAACGGTGGGAGGGGGCATGAACATGTGAGGATCGGTCTCTTTGGTTGGAGGAGAGGGAAGGTGAGGAAATTTGAGTCCCTCCCCAAGATTTCCCCGGTTTTAAAAAATGGATTAAGTTATTTGTACCAAAATATCTGTATCCAAATTTGTAAAGTGTCGCATGCCAAATTTGTAAAGTGTCGCATGTCTGCACTTTCATTTTGAATATTATAATTAATGCTAGAATGATAGTTTACAAGACACAAAATACAACTCTCTCCGTCTCATTTTATAACGCCTGTTACGGTTTACGATGTTCGACTGAAGTTATTTTCAAATCATTTTATATGACAAATGGTATAGAGTTAAAAAAATAAAAATTACATATCAAAATACTACATCAAAAGATCTACAAAATTAGTAGTGACAACAATATTTTATTTTATCAAATTGCTAATGAAAATAGATAAAGAAAGTGAATGAAGTTTGATTCTGTGAATAGTGAACATGCATTATAATTTGGGACGGAGGGAGTAATAAAAATTTTTGTTAATTCACCATTATTTTATGTCAGTATCAACCATCAAAATATTACTCTATACATTTGATGTTACTTTGGGGTACATTTTTAGGTGTAAGTGTAGCATGGTTGTTTAAAAATATAAAAGAAGATGCCTAAATTTGTAAGAGTGAGCAAGTATCGAACATATTCTGAATTTTCCCGAAAAAATAGGATTACTGAACTAATAAAATACAAAAAAAAATATGTATCGTATCGAATCGAAAGGTCAGTCCAGTATTTAGAATCAGTACGAGGTTACTCTTCATACCGAACAGTCTCGAACCAAACATATATACAAATATGTTATAAAAATTTTAATGTTTTTTTATTTTTTCATTAAATAATAGATTAATTTGGAGAAGTTGGTTCAAACGTAGATAAATTAAAAATAATCTTTTAAATATAAAATATAAAAAAATAAAACATTTTTTTCACCTCCCAAACAAACAAAGTGAAGAGAATCTTTTTCCTTCTTTTCCATTTTCCTCCCATCCATTTCTTCCTCCATCCCTTCCAAGTTCCAACTAAATAGACCCGGAGTGAAAAGGAAGAAAATGACGACAAGTTAAGAAGCTAATTTGCCAGGTGGCCCCCCAAATCAAGAGTTAATCCAACCATAGTTTTATGACAAAATTATCGGAGAACTACAACATTTGTATAGATATATGCCTTCTATAATTTTTACATACGAAGTAATAAGGATATATTTTGTTCTATTATTGTGCATCCCAAAATTTCAGTTCCATTTGCTAGTTTTCTTTTTGGTAGTCGTTGAACCATTTAGTGTCTTTGTGATTGGACAGTAATATTGATTTTCAATGCATATTGTTTTCACGACCGAGAATAATGTCACTTTTCAATACATACTGGCACACTGCATTGGCAATTGACAGTAATGCTGGTTTTAGTGCATACTAATGTTGATTTTTAGTAATGACAGTAGTTTTTTTAGTAATAATTTAATCTCATGCATGAATTAAGTTTTACTTAGACAAAACCTATAATATTAGCACTATTCATGTAATTTTCTCTAGTTTTTTTTGAGTTTCTTTGGTGAATTTAAAAAGCATTTTCTACGTATTTATTGTAGAATTTTTTTCTTTGGTCATAAGCATATGCTTACCTCGGTCAAATGAAGATCCACTTAAAATGGTGTGGACTTTAGGTGCACATTATTATTTACCTAAAAAATTTTTTGGTATGGTGCCGGTCATAGCAGCACTAAATCTTTTACACTATGTTTGGCTCAAGGATTTTGGAAGGAAAAGAAAAGAAAGTAAAAGAAAATGATTTTCTCTCATTTTCCTCACCAAAATGGAAGGAATTTGATTTTCCATCCACTTGGTACATTTTGCCTCCTCATTTTCTTTTCCTTCCATTTTTCCTTTCTTTTCTCCTCTAACCAAACAAGAAAAATAGTTTTCTACTTCATTTTCTTTTCCCTTTCAAATTCTTTGAACCAAACATAGTGTTAGTCTTTGGAAATGAGCCTTTTTTTCATCTAGAACCAAATCTAAAATGAACAGGGCCGAGATACAAATATTAGCCGCAACTACAAATTACATATTTTAGCTAATGACAAACACATTTGAGTAGATCTCAGCCGGTACTTCAAACATCAGACGAATGTGTTTGAACAAGAACAAAATACCTGAATGGCAACGAATCAACAACATTATTTTATCATATATAGAATACAAAGTACAATGTGTTATGCTTTCATTCTAGACAATGTGCTCGCTCTATGAAAAGCATGGGAAGAGCACCCAATCCAGCTGACCAGCACATTCATTCTTCTCATTTTGTGGCCAGTGCTCCCGATACAGCGGCAAACCCAAAGATACGACAACAGATACTTCCATTACCTAGCATGAGGGGAAAGAGAAATCAGAATACATCATCCTCTCACATTGACACAAATTCCAGGGCAAGATGAGTATATTACTTTCAGCGAGCATGGGCGTCAAGCGACATCCAAACGGAAACCAGCGACAAATCAGAGGCGAGCAGCAGATGGCGACTAGAGCTGTTGAAAAGATACCACAGAGTGTTTACTTTCGGCGGCGTCGACTAGGAAAGACAGAACAGAATCAGATCTTGCTCATTGAAATGAAAGGAAAAACAAAAAATGCTGCCATTTTAAATTTAAAAGTAAATTACAAGATGAAAGTAGTCAAGCTCACCATCAAACCCCACATCACACATAGTCTAAGGTAATGTGGTGTCTGGTGGGTAACTCTTATTTTGATTCTTTCTGGGTGTTTAACTACGATCTTCATACATTGTACTGACTTGGATTATTTATGCAATATGTATACTTCACCCAACGCAAGAAAATCAATTGTCTTTTCAAGCAGAAGGAAGCCAGGATCAACTGAGAAGGATTAGAGAAAGCCAGGATTTTTCAGTTTCTTCAATTGGTGCCTAATCAGTAGCGTAATAGTAAAGATAGCCGAATAGGTAAAAATTATACTCCGTATTACCATAGCAACATTTTCAAAATTCTATAAATTCAAAATTAATTAATTATCATTTACTGCCTATAACCGTACCAAAAATTCACAAGGAGTCAAGAAAGACATACATATGCATTAGAAAGGAGAATCATCATTCATCAATGGTCAGGCATACTATATTAGCCCGGCCATTAATAAGAAAACACTATCAATCAATTAAACTAAGAGTCACTCCAGTACGTACCACTCTAGCGAATAGACCAACAAATATATATGTTAGCAAATGATCACGACTTGAATGTTGCAAATTTCTTCCCCAGCCAAAGGATTCCCTAATAGATATTACACACTAACCCAATACTAAAATGAGTAGAGTAGACAACAAAAGACACAATTCAGAAGAATTGCTCAGCACAAACCTAGATTGCACTGGAATCCAGGATTGAAGCCGTCTCCATCGGGGAACTTCTACTATCAGTACCCATCTACATTGAATGGCCATAGGCCGAGATCAAAATAATGTCAGGTTAGTTCGCACACACACACAAAGAAAGAGGATTCAACATGTCCCTAGGACACTACAGCATTAGCTACACAAACCCATGATGAATATGCGTTCCACTAATAAAATAGACACATCTCTCTTAAAAGGAAATGACAAGTTTTCAACTAAAAATAAATTTGGATTAACTGCCCTTTTGACCCATGTCCATCAATTCTCAGCTAAAATCATCTAATCCATTAGGACAAGAGACTACCCATGCATCATAAATATAACACATCACTTCGAGACACATTCATCAAAATTAGGAACACACAAGTATCTCAAGATGAAAACGCATGCAACCACCACTAAATCTTATCATGGTGTTCCAATTATTAATACTACGTGAAGAAATCATTGGTTACCCGTTAAACGATAATCATCCTCCTCTAGACAATGTTCTTGAGGACCAATACAGAATCCAACCACTCAATACCTATTTACAGAATATGAGAAATAAAACATACAATTCCAAATAAGACATTCAAAAAGATCTGTGAAGAAATTGCATACAATTTTTCAAATGAAGTCACTGAATCAAGAAAATGACGCATCAACTCAACCTTCAACCAGCCATAAACATGTGGGTAAATACTTTTCTAGATACTCTCGATTTAGAGAATGTCTGTCTTGTCATATACGAGATACATAATTAGTTGTAAGAAAGATGTTAATCGCGAAAAATTAAATAAATAAATGCTAACTGATCCTTGCATATCGGCATAATGAATCATGGTATTCCTAAAATAGAAGCATGGTTTTTCAATTTGATGTATGATGTAATTCGGAAGTTGGGATTAAACATCCTCCATATTTACTTTTTTCAATATCAAGATAGGATAGCGATCCAAATCCCTTGATACGTCGCACCCATCGTTAGTCGTACCGCGTACCCGTGGCGACTTTCTCTTCCTATAATATCTATATTCTTTATAATTTCAGTCAATTCAAGTCATTTACTTTTATAAAGTCAATTCAAACCATGAGTTATTGTGATTATTTAACATAATATTTATATTCTTTATAATTTCAATCTTTATTTTTAAGTTCTTCCTTTTTTATGTATTTCTCTCTCTTAGGGGTGTAATCAGAGGACTTTAAGACCTCTACCGCTTAGGATACGCACACGAGAACTTGTGGACTCAAGGAGCTATTCTTATCAAGAAGCATGACAGGTTGAGTCCATCAGCAAAATTCATTCCCTCTTGAAACACAAGGGAATCCTTCCTCCTAATGAAGAAGAATTCTTGAAATACTCATCCATGTATTAAGCGCTAATGACTTGGTTGAAACGCTCCATAAATCTTACCCCTTCATTCGAATTCCATAACATTAGAAAATTAGTGAGAGATATAATAATAGCAACTTTCTGAAAAAACAAATCATAAGTGTGCATTAGTAAAGTTAGTTATATCTATCAGATTATGATTTTAAGACTTTTGAATCAAAACAATTAAGTCAAGATGCTTCCAATTAAAATTTTGTAAATCATTTGTCCTCTTCACGAAGAGTGACAATCATACCAGTGATTCTATCAATCAAGTGAAAATCATAAGGCAACCTATTGATTCATAAAGAAGTTGGAGAAAAAGGTGGATTAATAGAGTATTAGGATGTCCCTTCAAAATCTCTAATCCAAGCTCTCCAACCTCTTTATGAATCTATAGGATGACTAATGATTTTCACTTGATTGATAAAATCATTAGTATAATTGTCATTCTTCGCGAAAAGAAAATGCCTTACAAAATTTCAATCGTGAGCATCTCGACTTAATTGTGTTGATTCAAAAATTTTTAAAATCACAATCTGATAGATATAAGACATATAACTAACCTTACTAACACACACTTATAATTTGTTTTTTCAGAAAGTTAACACATTATATCCCTCACTGATTTTCCAATGTTATGGAATTCAAATGAATGTGTAAGATTTGTGAAGCGCTTCGACCAAGCCATTAGCGAATACGTGAATGAATATTTTAAGAATTCTTTTTCATTAGGAGGAAGGATTCCCTTGTGTTACAAGAGAAGAATACTTTGCTGATAGACTCAACCCGTCCTGCTTCTTGATAAGAACAGCTTCTTAAGTTTACAAGTCCTCGTGTGCGTATGCTAAGCGGTAGAGGTTTTAAAACCCTCATATTACACCCTTAAGAGCGGAGAGAAATACATAAAAAAGGAGAAACTTAAAAATATAGACTGAAATTATAAAGAATATAAATATTATGTTAAATAATCACAATACTTCATGGCTTGAATTGACTTTATAAAAGTAAATGGCTTGAATTGACTAAAATTATAAAGAGTATAGATATTATAGAAAGAGGAAGTCACCGCTGGTACGCGATACGGCCAACGATGGATGCAACGTATCAAGGGATTAGATCGCTATACCATGTTAATGTTGAAAAAAGTAAATATGAAGATGTTTAATCCCAATGTCTCAACTTCCGAATTACATCATACGGGTCTTGAGTTGTTTGGTTGGTATGAAAAGAAACCATGCTCCTATTTTAGGAATACTATGATTCATTATGTTGATATGCAAGGATGAGTAAGCATTTGTTTCTTCATTTATTTATTTAATTTTTCGTGATTAATATCTTTCTTGCAACTAATTATGTATCTCGTATAGGACAAGACAGACATTCTCTAAATCGAGAGAATCTGGACAAGTATTTACCCACATGTTTATGGCTGGTTGAAGGTTGGGTTGATGCGTCATTTTCTTGATTCAGTGACTTCATTTGAAAAATTGTATGCAATTTCTTCACAGATCTTTTTGAATGTCTTATTTGGAATTGTATGTTTTATTTCTCATATTCTGTAAATAGGTATTGGTGGTTGGATTTTGTATTGGTCCTCAAGAACATTGTCTAGAGGAGGATGATTATCATTTAACGGGTAACCAACGATTTCTTCACGTAGTATTCATAATTGGAACACCATGATAAGATTTAGTGGTGGTTGCATGCGTTTTCATTTTGAGATACTTGTGTGTTCCTAATTTTGATGAATGTGTCTCGAAATGATGTGTTATATTTATGTAGCATGGGTAGTCTCTTGTCCCAATGGATTAGATGCTTTTAGCTGAGAACTAACTAATGGGCAAGGGCTAAAAGGGAAGTTAATCTTAATTCATTTTTAGTTGAAAACTTATACTTTCTAATTAAGGGAGATGTATCTACCTTATTAGTGGAACACTAGATCATTGATGTTTCATAAATATAACACATCACTTGGAAACATATTCATCATGGGTTTGTGCAGCCAATGTTGTAGTGTCCTAGGGGCATGTTGAATCCTCTTTCTTTGTGTGTGTGTTTGTGTGAACCTGACATTATTTTGATCTCAGCCTATGGCCGTTCAATGCAGATGGGTACGGATAGCAGAAGTCACCACTAGTACGCGATACCGCCAATGATGGATGCGACATATCAAGGAATTAGGATCGCTATACCATCTCAATTTGGATCGCCATACCGGCTACGATCGGATCGCAATCGATTTGAAATTGGGTACACTCTTACCAATACAGAAGTCGCGGCTCCTAGAGCGAATTCTGTGCCTATGTTAGGAACATTCCAAAGATCATGCACATGTCCTTCTGGTGAATGCCTTTGGATTGGAGGGCAGAGATGATGGAGTACAGAGGGGTTGTTTAAAGAGATGGGTTGAGGGAGAGTGCTCTGCATGAATCAACTCCCATAATCTCAAGGTGCATGAATCAACTCCCATAATCTCAAGGTAGAGGGTTTTCTCTTTGAATTGGAAGGAGTGATTTGGTTGAGCTTGTTCAAGGAGTTGGTGTTTCTGTAATAATAAGCTCTTGGGCTTTGTTGATAAGTTGATGGAGGTGGTGGTTGTTGTAATTGTCGTCGTCGATTGTGTGTTTACAGGTATAGAATTAAAATAGCAATCTTTTCTCGCCTTCCACACCAACCAAAATCGGGCTATTCTAGGTGGGAGCTTCATCTTTCAACACCTCATTGAGTACACTTTTGGAAAGGAGGAGCCCGATTGCTCGATCGATAAGAACTGAGATGTATTTTTCATTACTTGTTTTGGCCACACTAATCAAGGACAATGGAATAGCTGCAATTCCTTTCACCTCTTGTTCTGTGATCAAATTTCTCATAACACATAATTTCCAACTTCTAGAATGGCTATTGATAAGCTCACTTACTAACATAGTGTTTTCTACACCCATCGTAATGCTATTAGGTTTCAAATTCATCAACATGGGAACCCAATTATCTTGTACAGCTCTCACCCTTGAACTTGGGACACACCGAATAATCACTGCCATATCCCAACTAGAAAGCCATTGCCTTCAATCATGGATTGGTTACGAAACCATCCTCCTAGATCTGCCAGACAATCATTGATAATTTTCAAATCAATTTCACGAACCTGAGATATGCACTACCTATGGAGTGGTGGGTTGAATGTTGCACTAAAGCAAGTTTTGACAGAGCATAGTTACTCATCCGCTGCAGAAATCTGATGCAGAAAGAGATTAAAGAAGAGGGGGGCTGAATAAATTCTAACAGAGGAAAAAAACCACATCAACTTAAACATAGAACGAAATCAAACTAACAAGGTTCAAAACTGCAGAAAAGCCCAGTGCTCCCGATACAGCAGCAAACCCAAAGAAACAAGAAATACTTCCATTACCTAGCAAGAGGGGAAAGAGAAATCAGAATATATACTCTCACATTGACACAAACTCCAAGGCATTAAAGAAACTCAGGACATCCACAGAATAAACATACAGAAAAGCAAAGCATGTATCAAAGCAGACAGGGCTCACAAGACTTTTACAGCTTACAAAAACTCAGCAAAAAAAGAACATCTATTTTTTCTTGAATTACCACTTATACAATTTCTTGAAACCACATCTTTTGAAGATTCGAGGTAAGATGAGTGTATAACTTAGGTTTAAAGAACTGTTTCATTCTGCCCAGATATTCTAGTTTTATAGGAAAGTGAACAAATATAGTGCCCCATTTGCAGAGTCAACTTATCAAATCAATTTCACAAGTTGCACAATCTTTAAGGCAAAAGAGATGCTAAATCCACCATCAAGGTTATCAAAATTTAGATTTTACATAGGATTGTGGCATGTCATGCGGAATCATAATCATATCACGGATTTTAAAATTTTACAAGCTTGAAAAGAACTAGTAGTAAATTTAGACACGACTGTGAAAATATTGTCCTCTTCATTTTTCTATGTGAAGAATATGTAAATTCGAATACCCCTCAAACTAACTGTTAAAATTATTGAAAGGGATAAAATTGTCAATAAGAAAATTAAACTAGCAGTTTGGAGTTTTTTTTGCAAAATATAGTCATTAGGGGGGGCAATAATTGTTAGAACTTCAAATATCCCTGCGGGGGGAGGGAAGTCCAAAAAGATTGAAATTGAGGATTTTGGGGCAGTACGAACTGTGTGGTGCACGGTTTGGGCTGGCTCTTTATCTGGGAATTCTGGGCCCAACCCAAAACCACCTTTTCACCCATTTTGGGCCGGTTACGGGGCTGATCTGGGTTAGTTTACTTGTTTTTGAGCCAGTTCTGTGTCAACCTACTTAACCATTGCAACATTAGGATGCAATATAGATACTCCCACCACTGCATCCACTCCACTCATAAATTACTCCAAATGACCACACCGTTGTGTTAAATGAAATCCAACGGCAGATTGCTTGTGTGTCGGTGTGTGTTTGTGTGACACTAGAGCTTGCAAATGGGTCGGGTTTGGATTCGGTCACTTCAAATTCGGGTAAGTTTGTGTTCAAGTGGAGAATTGCATGTTCATGACCCAGTGTCATGTACAAAAGCAATTACAACTGTGGGGTGTTCTATGCCATTGGGGTGTTCTATGCCATGAAAATATCCAAAAAGTCTTTCAGATTAGCTTGAATTACAATCTTAATGATATCACAAGCAGAACAAGCACCTAAGTACAAGTTATCAATCAATTCGACAAAAACATACTGCCATTGGCAAATCAGACTCTAATTGAAGCAATCTGAACACAATTAAGCAAAAAATCTGATCGAGTTGGGAAAACAATCTTAAACACAATTAAGCGAACAGTGGGGATTGGGAAAGGGCTTACCACCACCATTCTGGGCTTAAATTATTATGCATTCACGGAGAACTGTTCCATTGGGAAACAAAAAGGCTCTAGAGTCATATATTTCGGCCTCCAGTCCTCCACCACCGTCATCATCGTTGTTGTTCTTCTTCTTCTGAACTACTTTGAATACAGTGACTATCAATTTCAATGTAAAACCATTTTCGAAAAACTCCTTCAGCTCATCGTCAGTAAGCTGCTGATCTTCGGAGATGGCACACAAATACTTGCCACAGATATGCTTCAAGTAGACTGTTCTAGATGGATCAATATTCAATCCAGCAACCGGTCCAGGTATCCATCTCTTGGTTGCTAAATCAAACGCCCAGATATCAGCGGTGTGCATCAAATAAGCGTAAAGAATGCCATCAACCACCACTGCTGCTCCGTGGGGGAACATAGGGAAAGGGCACTCAGCAATGTAGACCGTGTGGGTGTCCAAACTGTAGGTCAGGAGTGATGGTGGCAGAAGGCCACCTCTGGAGGGATCAGAATAAAACAGAAGTTGCCTTTTACCTTCATCATCAACAAAGGCCCCTCCCCGTACGTGAAAATTCAAAGGTGGTATGGGTCCCATGTCTTCTTCCCCAACTAATACAAAGCTTACAGCTTCCCATGTTTTACTGTCGGGGTCATATATCTAGAGGAAACAGTCAGCCGCGGGCACTCTCTGACCTCCAAAGACATAAATCTTGCCATCGACGACAACGACCTCAGGAAAATCTCTCTCAGCCCACATATTCGGCAGTTCTTCCTGAAATAACTTATTAGATGGGTGTGCTGCTGCGAGATCAAACAACTTAACACAAGTACTGGTATCCTCCTGAACGTCCCAGCTGTCGTTCTCTAAAAATGGACCACCTAAAGTAACGATAGTGCTGCTCCCCGATGGAAAAGGGACGGCTCTTTGCATAGAAACGCTCTCCAACCCTGGGATCGGAGATAGCTTCTCTCCTACAAGAGGAAGTTTAGGGGGTGAGGTTCTGCCTTCTTTTGGAAGCCAATCTTTGAAGGTGTACCACGAAGCTTGATCGGACATGTTTCTGGTATGAACCTGAAAATAGATTGATTTGGTCCAAAGCTCCTCCTCCTCCTCCACGTCTCCCTTAATATTCTTCTTCTTCATCATCGGCGGATCCCATTTAAGAGTCTCCTCCCATAATCGAGACTTGAAAAAAAGTTCTTCTCTATACCTCCATATTTCTTCTCTGTAACCCGCCAATTCTCCCACCACTTTTCTTTCGTCTTCCCTCATCAATCGTTCATCTGGTATAAAAAATTCCATCGATACCGTCCCCAAAAGCTAGCCGATCGGATTTTTTCTTTTCCAGATCTGAAGTTTTGAAGATTCGTTCGATTAGGGTTTATTGCGACCAACAAGGCTTGTCTCACTCCGTATATATACGCCCTTCTGGCCAAGACCCAACCTCATATGCGCCCCCTAGAAACCCGGCCCACACATTCGACATTCATCGACGGCTGGACGTACACATACTCTGTAAACATTAATTAAGCCAAATAATGTAGCTATCCCGTAATTTGCAAAATAAATATTAATATCTCTTCTCTTTTTAGAACTTATTTTTAAAGTTATTTTAGTTTCAGAATGCTGCATATTTTTTGTTCTGGTGAAGAAGAGAGGCAGTGCTGATTTTTATTTCGCGCTTATTTTTTGTTTTTCCCATATTTTTCCTTTATTTGTTTCATTTATTAATAAAGGTTTCTATAAATTATTTTTATAATGTTCTTAAAATTCAAAATTATTTTTGTTTGAAAAATTTAACATATAATGCATATGTACGTCTCAAATTAACATTTTTTATTTTTCCGAAAAAAAAGTATTTTTTTGAGAACTTTAAAAAAATGAGGAATAAAATAAGAAACAAAATACTACAAAAATAAAAATGAATATCCTTTGTGGGCATCCCAATTCTAATGACCTTTTTGGTTGTCCAATTTTTTTTGTATAAGACTTTTTTTCGTATTTTAATATTTTTTGTTTTGTTTTTCCATTTTTTTATTTTTAATTAAAGGTTTTCTTTTTGGACTTTCCAAAAAATTATTGCAAGTAACAAAAAGTGAAAATGTTTAATTTGAGATCGATGCAATGTATCTTAATTTTTTACTTTTATTTTTATTTCAAACACAACGAATTTTAAAATTTTTAAAACATTACGAAAAATTAAAATCTTATTCTTAAAAGCAGGGGAAAACTCGCCCACTCAATTTCCCGCCCAAATGCACACATCTATGAGTCGTCGATCTTTGAAAATTTCATCATCTACGGTTGATATACGACAATCTAAAAAAGGTAAGAATTTCATGTCATATTATTACATAGGGACTATTAAAAACGAAATAAATACAAAATGGTAAGAATTAAAAAAGGAAAACAGATCCAAAGGTTGCGTTATATTGTTTTATTCTAATTCCATGTTTGCGTTATTTTTTTGTTTTATTTTTTAAATTTCTAAATATGCAAATAATTTAATTTAATTTTAATACTGAAATAATGCAAAATATTAATGGTGATGCGTTAAAAGATTTGTAACATGATCAGATAAAAATCTAATATATTACATTTAAAAGTCTGTATATATAATATTACATTATTATTTATAAAAAAAATATACTAATTATTATTAAATATAAAAACTATTGCAACAAAGGAAATAAAAACTGGATATAAATTAAAATTCGTGAATAAAAGTAATAAAGTAATCAAAGTAGGAAATAAATTAAAAAAATGGTAAGAATTAAAAAAGGAAATCAAAAGCAAAGGTTTCCTTATATCATTTTCCTTTTTAATTCCATATTTGCGTTATACTGTTTTGTTTTATTAATTCCCAAATATGGAAATACTTAAATATGGAATACTGGAATAATAAAAAATATTAATGGTAATGTGTTAAAAGTTTTGTTACATATTTGATAAAAATCTACTCCGTAATATAGTACATTCAAAAATACGTGTATATAATATTACATTACTATACACAAAAAAATGATGCATTAATGTAATATATTACATAAGAGCTACTATGCATTCTCAAACCAAAAACGATGCATTAATGGTGACATTTTCGTGACAGTGCATTATGTTCTAGATATTGATTTTTTACAAACGATGATGCATTTAAAATGTTTAATGATCCATTATGTTGAAGCAAAAGATGCGAGTCTCTTTGAGAAAAAGATAATTTGTTGCCTATTAGCTCAAATGGTAGAGCGGTATGTAATATAAATGTGGGTTCGAATCCCGCATAGGCAGACTGTTTCTCAAATTTGTATTACACTTCTTCTAAATACAACACATTCCCCGATATTCTCATTATATTCAAAATCAGTCATGAGTCATTATTTACCAATCCATAGTTTGATAGAATAAAACTAGAAAAAATCTATAAAGACAAATCACAATGCACATATCGGTCATGACAATGCATTCGCATTAAGAGAGTGTATAATAGCCCAAAAATCGGCCTAAAATTTAGACTTAAATAATTGAGGAACAATTGTTTATAAATTTTACTTTTTTTATTTTAGAACATGAGAAGAAGATAATAACAAAATTTTATATTCAATATTGATGTCATTGGATAGATCTCAACGAGAGATTTTCAACCGTATATTGTTTGTCAAAGACGTACTTGTGCACAAAAAGTTATATATAAAATAAAAAGTATAGTAGAATATTAAATGAAATCATAGTATAAGGGGTGTGCGGCTGAGAACAAATAAGGAATATTTCCGCAATTTTTTAATGCATTTGAAAATACCCAATATACCCCTCTTAACCAAATTAACCCTATTTAAATGCACTATAATTATTACTTCCCATATATAATACACACGCCTAACCCCATCCCAATCAATCTATGGCCACACGATGCATCAAATCCAAAGACACAGATTTATTCTTATTTCTTTCACCAAGATCTATTATCACAGGGACTGCCCCCTATATATATATATATATATATATATATATATATATATATATATATATATATATATATATATATATAGGGGGCAGTCCCTGTGATAATAGATCTTGGTGAAAGAAATAAGAATAAATCTGTGTCTTTGGATTTGATGCATCGTGTGGCCATAGATTNATCATATTGTTTTAAATAAGGAAACAAAAAACCGGATATAAAATAAGACTGCATTATTGTATATAATAAAATAATACTGAAGATTAGGTGAGACGTTAGAAGGTGTATTGTTACGTTATAAGAAGAATGACCTGAAGATTTTTATTTACGACTCAGAAAATATTTCCACAAGATGTACCACTAATATAGTTAAAGAAGATTTTCAAACTTTGTAATTTATATGATATTCATTCTTTACAATAATAAAAAACATTATATCTCATTATATGACGTATTTCCTCTCTTATGCAAACTAATCTGATAATAACATATATCTGAAAGATATCTAAATTGAATAAATCAAGTTCAATGCCGATCAAATTAATTCAATTGCCACCTCTAGCGTTCATTTGACCTGACAATTAGATCAATCGAATCGGTCAAGGTTTGAATTTTATAATTTGAATATGTTTTAGAAATATGTTATGGTCAGTTCAATTCAGATCATATCAACTTAATTTTTTGTTTGAATTTATTTTAGTTCCACACCATTTTCGGTTTTGGTCCAACTCCGAATTGGTTTAGATATAAAATGATTTGAAAATAACTTCAGTCAAACATCATAACCTGAAACAGAGGATATAAATTAGGATGGAGGGAGTAAACTTTTAATAAAACAAAAAATTATGTATTTGAGTATACGACTAATCAACATATTAATTTCTCTCTAAAGCCCTCAAATATTGGATGCGAGTATGCCACAGATTAATTTACTACTCCTAAGAGTGGCGAATCTAAAAATTTGAGTAGACAGGACACAATTGGTCGAGGAGACAATGCTTCAACCGAGAAGCTCTCCAAAGGCAGAGGAGATAGTGCTTCAACCGCTAAGAAGTTAGCCAAAGGCGAGGGAGGTAGTGCTTCAATCACCGAGAAGTTGTCCAAAGCTCCCGAGAAGCTTTCCAAAGGTCGAGGAGATAATGCTTCAACCGACCAGGTCACTGTTGCTTGATTCATGATACTCCAAATCTTCTAGTTTTATTTTTTTAAATTAAGTTACACCGAGGTATATCGTTAAGAAATATAGTGATGGTCTAATAAAAAATATTATTTTAAAAATTATTAAAATAAGTCTAAACTAATAAAATCTTATATTTAAAAAAACTTTCCTTATCATAAAAAAAGCTACATTATACTGCGATAATGGTGATAATGCATTCAATTTGATAGTGTATGTTAGAACTTCATAATGTTTTTAGTATTAATTATATCTTAGCATTCTTGGAATTGTAAATCCTATTTTTATATTCCGTGTAAAACATAAATTAGAATGACCTATTTAGAAATGTCTCAAATATCCTTTCAGTTGTAAAATAAGGGTTCTGTTGGACCATTCACGGTCTCTATGATTATAATTTGACAATTAATAATATTTTTATTATTGATATATAACTTTTATGAAAATACGATATTTTAATAAAAATACCATATCCGTGTTAATAAAAATACTCTCTAAAAAGTGAGTGAATTTTTTTCGAATAGTAAACAATCTCTTTCACAAAATATTTTTCTCTCGGCTTTATTTATTCATTTACAATTCGCTCTTCCGTGCAGTGTCAACCTGATACCGAGTATGTCGGTCTTGCGGTTTCCATCACTCGAAAATGACATTAAGTTTTAATGTCTAATTATAACTTTTTTGAATTGCAATTATTTTTCGAGCAATACTCCAAATTATTTTTTGATATTTCGCTATAACATGTTTCCAAAATAGAAATAGAGTATTTGTGAACTGTTGTGTTTTTAAAAGAGCAAGACAACTCTTAAATAAGAGTTTAGTGTTATATTTTTTTTAAAACATAAATTTAAACTTTAAAGTTTTAAAAAAAAACTTAAAAAAAGAAAATTTACCAGAAATAATATTACCTTTCATACATAATATTATAAAAGATCTACAAAAAATGAAATTATTTCATATTTTTTTCTTAAATTTACTAGTACTCCTTACATGCTCGAAAATGTTCTTCTCATTTGATTTTTCCTAATCTAAATTTGCAAACTTTGACTCTGATATGTGAAAAAATATTATATTACCCCAGAGTATGATATAATTCTAATATCAATATATTTATATTGAAACAGAATTTTCCAATATCAAATTTTTATAAAATATACCTATATATTCCCTCCGTCCCATACAGATGGGTACACTTTGATTAAAATATAAATTAAGGGAGGGATAATTTTATGTTGACTTTCCAAAAAATACCCTTGATGTGATGTGTAAAAATATGATGTGATGTGTAGATTATTAGAAAAAAGATACTCCGTATGATGTAATAGGTATGGTTTGAAAAAGTAAGGGGTAAAAATGGTTTTTATTAGAAATGAGAAAGGAATTGTGGGACACAATTTTTTTGAAACGTGTAAATAGAGTATTTAAAAGTCTAATGAGCAGCCAGCTCTGGGTCTCCTGCGCTGGTAGTCATAGGATCCCAACGAATGAAGCGGATAATCCGGCAGCTCAAGGCGGATGGATCATCTCCGCCGACAACTTCACAGCGACCTTTCTTCCTCCACGTCCATCCCTTACCAATTGACCCGACGCGCGGACTCGGATTTCACGTCACTGACTGCCATTCCAGCGCGTGGGAAGCTCTCAAGACCGAGGAAGACCTAGAAGACATGGTTCCTCCCCAACCCCTCCTTTCTTCTCCTGCTTTCTGAATATAATTAACTTCTCATTTTCTGTAAGGCTTTCCTAGTTATGTTCAAGTATTGTGTTTTCAGAGGGACATTACGGGTATAGGAGGCTCTTTGTCTGATTTTGTAGATTACGTTTTAGCTTCCTTCAATTCCGAGGATGTAAAGCTTGTTCTGGATGGAGACTCCATGGGTAATTCTCGAATTAGATATTCTCCTTTGTTTAGTCTATTCATTGGCTTGTTCTTCCAGTAAGCACTTTATGGGCTGGGCTTTGATTGAAAGTTCAGCTCAAAGGACCGCAGACCCTTTATAGTCTGGTGAATTGCATAGTCAACCAGTGAATTTGTGATATTTTATACTACATTTCAATGTTTTGTTTTGAAAAGAGGCTGCCCGTGTTAAATTAATTGCTCAGAAAGCAAAGGGAATGCCCCGAATCACCATATCACTCAGTAAACTGGTCGGTGCTGCTGCAAGTGAGGCCGTGGCTAATCTCTCCTTGGAGCTCTATAAATCATTCAAGGATGTCCAGAGTATGCTTATTAGTGGTGATGCTCTCTGTTCCTGACCTATATAGAGTTATGTTGATGAAATTGGTGAATGAATAACGAGTCATTAGTTTTCAAAATATACTATGCAATCACTTATTTTCAGAACTCATCTAGATGTTCTTTTCAAGCTCATTCTCCAGTTCATGCATTCCCACTTTTAATCTACATGACTTATGAATATATGTTTTGACTGAAGAATTAATTTAATTTTTCTTGGTGGTCATTCTTCAGAGCAAGAACGGTGTTGTCACTTGAGTAAAGCATTGTCTGTAGAGCAGGTACTGTTACATTCAGCACTTGTGATGCTTCCCTGTACTTTTGCCAAGTTTTTTTTAGAATCATGTATGAGTTTATGATCATTTTCTGTGGAGTTATACTGATTGGCACATATCTCTTTATATTTTAAATGCTTTCAACACACATTTGGTTAGAATGCTCTGTAACTTGAATTATGCCCCCATACTCCTATATAGACTTTAAAACCTGATTGATCATATCGTCTCATTGTAGTCCGCACAAACATTTCTGAAGCATTCACTTCTTTTGGTTGGCAGGAAAAGAGCGAAACTATCCAGAAGCAACTGGATGAATTTATGTACTCAAAAAGGCAGAACTTGAGTAATGCAGGCGACAAATCATTATCAGATGCTCCGGGTATGAATTTTAATTTTTTTCCAGTCCTACTTAATGCGGGATGCCAATTCTTAAGTCAGGAAGTGTGAGTGGAGTGAAAGTTGATCCATTTTAGATCTTTTATTGTCTGTCGGGTTCCATGCAACATTCATGTAGTAATATCTAAGTGACAGGATTTTTCTTATTCTCTATCGTGTTCTATGTACCCATTCATGTTGAAATATCTAAGAGCATCATTACTCATTCTCATCTATTCCCCTCCCGCGTCATCTACTTACAATGCTACATCACTTTCTCCTCCCTTCTCTAATCATTCCTCTAGTGTTTTTATTATTATTTTTTGCCACGTGTCATCTCTTCATTTGTACAAACAAAAAATTAATAACAAAAAAAGCAATTGGCCAATTCTCCTCTATTCTCCCCTTCTTTCTAATCATTCTTCTCCTCTTTCTCCCTCCACATTATCCTATTCACCCTTCTTTCCTCATTAGTAATGACAGGGTTTTTCTTATGCATTGTTTGTATAAGGTCGAGGGAGCCTTCTTTTATCCTTGTGGAAAATTTGATAAAATAAACGCTGCTCGTGCTCATTGTGTATTGTTTTGGAAAATGCAGATAATAGAGGACAACAGCCCCCAACAAAAGTTGTTAAGCGTGTCGTGCCAACTCATCGCAGGTTATTATATTGGTCGTAGGAACCACTTTTCTGGTTGTTTTATATCAAATGACATTTATGGGTTAGTTGATTATACATCCTTGTGGCAGCAGGGCCAAAGTCAGAGGAGTACTTTTGCAGGACACTGAAGATGATGAACAACAAAATTAGGCAAATTATTTTTCAATGCCCCTTCTACAGATCTCTCTGGTAGCTGAAGACATTCTTTGGATTGTGTGGTGTATTTCGAACGATGAACATCATCACTAGTGTCCTTCTGGGACCGGTTCGACAGTTATCTGCGAATTATTTTCTTCTTCATATAAGGACAGGATCTTGTTTTTAATTTTTTTTTTGTGTCGGACGGATGACTTGTTGTGTAAACTTTTTTTTACTTTACACTATGGAGTCTCTTGGAAATAGATTTGCTACATGTGAGTACGGTTAATGCTTGCAGACACTCGACTTGCCCAAACCCTATTTCTGTGGAATTTCATTGGATTCGTTTTTGTAAATCACACAACGTAATTGTAGAAAAGTAGTATCGTATGCTTGAAAATTTGTATACTCTAACAAACTAGTATGCAAATGGCAAATTCTACCCTGAACTTTAGCAAAGCATTTGTTTACTACCATGAGTCCATGATCAACATTTTTTAAGTTTTTATGTGAGTACTCAAACTAGTAGTGCACACTTGAAAAAACTGTCATGAAAAGTTTGAAAATCAAGTGTTTTGTTATCATATTTTTGGAACCGGAAACATATAAACTTTAAATCAAACACTTTTAAAAGGTGACTCGTATTTGACTAATCTTTACATCAAAAAATGATTTTTTACTCAACAAAAAGCTCCTTCAATTCAATTGCTGAGCTGTTACTTCTGACCAGTATAGAACACTTTGGATCAACCAGTCAAAACTCATTATTTGACCCCTGTTATTTGGAGGTTGCAGGGAAAAAAGCAAGCAATTCCCATATTTTTTTTACCCTTTACCCTAGAAAAATTTTACAGTTTGAAGTTTTTGTCAAAGTGCTACATGCTAAATGAGTAAATGATGTATCATAATTCATTTATTACTCGGTAGATGTGAAAAGTACTCAGATACCTGATATAAGATGTAAAAGAATAAGAAATGAACAACTAATTATATCTGAGTAAGAAAATACTCACTCCGTGCCAAAATAATTGTTTCAATTGCTATCCTGACCCTTTCATAATCTTTTTATATGTGTATTTTCATTAATTATTTGATAAAATAAAATATTTTTGTCATAATTTATTTCATACTAGAACTTTAAATGTAGTTTTGAAATAAGTAATTTGTTTTTTATTTCTCTACCAATTTGTAAAAATTAATTGTAAAAAAAATTATACAAATAAATATAGAAAGGATGGTATTATCACTTTTATGGTGCACTTTAGATCTACAAAATTTTTGTTGTTCTTTTCACAGAAATGAAAATATTTTTTATTCTAATTTAAAGAATAAAAAATCATCACAATAGTAAGTAGATGCCATGGACTATTAGCTTTTGTAATAAGGAAATGTTTATTTTCTTTTTATCAACGGAAAGATCGAAGGATTAAATTGAGACAAAAGAGAAAGTTTATATTTTGTGCCAATCAATATGTCCCTATTTATGGTGCTTTATTATTACGGAGAATGAGGATTAGCTTTCATTATTAGTATAAGAGTAATACTCCCTCCGTCCCAAATTATTTGCCACATTTGCTTTTTCAACAGTCGCGGGAACTTTTGTTTATTTCTACGTTTTCATTGGTTATTTGATAAAATAAAATATTCTTGACACCTCTTATTTCGAAGAACTTTTCATGTAGTTTTTTGATATGTAATTTTTATTTTTTATTTCTTTACCAATATGTAAATAAAATGAATTGAAAAAACTTGATATTTTGTCTCAGTAATAGAAATGTGACAAATANTTAGCTTTCATTATTAGTATAAGAGTAATACTCCCTCCGTCCCAAATTATTTGCCACATTTGCTTTTTCAACAGTCGCGGGAACTTTTGTTTATTTCTACGTTTTCATTGGTTATTTGATAAAATAAAATATTCTTGACACCTCTTATTTCGAAGAACTTTTCATGTAGTTTTTTGATATGTAATTTTTATTTTTTATTTCTTTACCAATATGTAAATAAAATGAATTGAAAAAACTTGATATTTTGTCTCAGTAATAGAAATGTGACAAATAATTTGGGACGGAGGGAGTTATAATGTTTTACGATCTTTGGATTTGACTTTGAACTCCATATAGGTAGTGTACAAATTACTTAATTAATTAATATTGTCAAACTTAGCTTGTGGAGTGGAATGTGTTTGCCACTTACGTTAGCCTAGCTAATTCAACGACGTGAAAGAGACGGACCAACTTTGCAAACCTGTTAAATATTACATTCACATCTATTTAAATCTCTCTAATGGCACCATGTAGAACATAGTAGCTCTAGGTACGTAAATAAATGAACCACGTTTTAAAAAATTAGACGGAAATAGACCTGATCGAAATACGGACCAAATTAGGTTTTGAATCAAGCAAAGACAATAGACTACAAGAGTTTTCTAAGCCCGAGTCTGGCTTGCCCGTATAGAGGGCCTAACAACTGAATCTCGAGCCTGGCGCGCATGGGCGAGCTATCGCAGCCCAGTCTGCACGGTTGATATTTTCTACACAATTAAAAAATAATTTTTTAAATAAAGTAATGTCTTAATATATTAGGTATTTGATTTAATGGATATACATGGGATGCAATGTGTTTTGTTTGATAATGTTAGCTTTATTTATTTAAATATTATTATCAGAGTGCAATAAATAATAATAAAAGTGTATTAATTTTATTAAATATGCTTTAAAATCTTTCTTTTTTTCAAAATAAATATGTATGTTTGTTTTGTTATCGTTCTTATTTTCATTATTGTAATTATTATTTTATTATAAATATAGTAAAAATACTCCTTGTGTCCCAAATTATAGTGCATGTGTACTATTTACATGGCCAAATTTTATTCTCATTCTTTTCCTCCAATCTATAAATTAATTAAATTTAAAATAACTTAAACCAAACATCGTAAATTAAAACAGACACTATAAATCAAGATGAAAGAAGTAATTATTGGGCCTGTTTGGGAATAGCGTTAGAGATTAGCGTTAGCGTTTTGGATAAAATGTTAACGGCGCAGATTACTTTGAAAACGCTAACGCTAAACGCTGGCCGTAGATAGCTTTTTCAAAACGCTAACGCTAATCTCTAACGCTTTTCCCAAACAGGCATATTATAAACATTGTTATTCATTCGGCCCGGCTTGGCTCAGGCTATAACAAGAAACCCGAGCCCGACCCTCAGATATGCAGCCCTAGATATGCAGCCCTGTGTTCATAAAGTTCAAGCGTGGCATGCACTTACAAAAAAACATTAAGGGGCTGTTTGGCAACTTCTGAATGGGTAAGTGCTGAACCAGTAAGAGGTCTGAACCATTAAGAGCTAGTATATTGCTTAACTATTCAGAGGCAAATGTCTGATCAATTCAGATAAGAGGTCTTAACCATTCAGACTTTGTATAATACTTAACCATTCAGAGGCAAATTTCTTAACCATTCAGACATCTGAACCATTAAGAGGCTGAAACAAACAGTCTGAACCATTAAGTGCTGAACCATTCAGACATCTGAACCATTAAGATGCTGAAACAAACAATCCCTAAATCTTAGCCTTTTAATTCCTGGCGAGTCACATACTCGAGTTTGTGATAGGGTCTATAAAGATTAAAGAACATTCAGCAACCCCCACCCTAGTTTACTGCTGAATATGATGGTGGGTCACATATTTGACCGCCGGTGGGTGAAAAATAGGAGTGGGTTCCACTACCTCCACCCTTTCCGATTCCTCCATCTTGAATTATATTTTAACCGTTTTGATTTAAGAGGTTTGACTGAAATTATTTTTATATCATTTTATATAAAAAATAGTTTAGAATTTAAAAATAAAAATTATATATTAAAATTTTATATCAAAAGGTCTACAAAACTAGTGGTGACATTAATATTTTATTTTATCAAATAACTAACGAAAAAAAGGAAAAAAGTGAATAAAATTTGATCATGTAAATAACAAACAAACAACTTAAGTTGGGATGGATGGAGTACAATATTTAACTCATACAGATATTCAACTAAAGAAATTGGTTCGATAAGGAATTCTATATCATATTGATCTCAATCACGACATATCATTTTTAAGATGGTTCGCTATCGATTCGTTACAATTCAGGATGAATTCATACATGCCTTATTTACACTTGAAAATTTAATAAAACCTTTCACTTTTTGAAAAAAAAGTAGATACAAATAAAAAAAGAGGAACTTACTTAAATAACACTAAAACATAATGACTTTCTCTAAATAGCACCACATGTGTTATTCTTCCCAATGTAGCACTTTTAGTCATTATGCATTAGTCATTATTCAAGCAAATATTCATCATCACTGATCATTATGGACATTATTAAGTGCTATTTAGAAAATAAAACAGTTTAAGTGTTATTTAGAGAAATGACTTAAGTGTTATTGCTATTTAGTGCAAATATTTCATAAAGAAATAGAAAAAGTGAAAACCAAATAATTAAATGCAATATCAAATGTATATTAAACTTAGTCTATATTTTACAAATTTAAAAAGCAAATAATAACAAAACAACATTTCAAAATATTCTTTTAATTTTCTTAATTTTATCTACCAAAAAAAATAATGTGATTGTCAACAGACGTTGTGCAGTTAGTAAGGACAAGAGTGCGAATGAAGTAGAAGTACTTGGATTAAGGTGACAGCTCCACTTTAATTTAAACTCACCCTAATGTTTTTATGTTGTGTACCACACCATCAGTCCATCACCATCAGTCCATCATCTATCCCTCTTGTTTCTTCTTCTTCTTCTTCTTCTTGTTCAATGCTTGTGCCTTCTTCCCCCACCCACCCAACCATGTGATCAACCCTTTTCACTTTGTCTATCCTCTCTTCCTATATCACTCCCGTCTATACTCCGTACGTTTCTGCACTAATTTATTCAGGAGATATATATATGGATATGGAGTTGGGGAATATTCCGGCATTGTTCCGGTGCCCAATAAGCTTGGATCTGCTTAGAGATCCGGTGACTCTGTGCACCGGCCAGACCTACGACCGGTCCAGCATTGAGAAATGGCTGGCTTCCGGCAACTCCACCTGCCCCATCACTATGCAGAAGCTCCACGACCCCTCCTTAGTCCCCAACCACACTCTCCGCCATTGCATCCAGCGCTGGCTCCACGCCGCCCCCGCCGCCGTCTCCCCCTCCCCTGACGCCGTCCTCGACTCCTCCTCTGCTCCCCAACACCTCACCCACTCCCCTGCTTCATTAATGCGCAATCTTCTCTCCCCGTCCCTCACCTTGGACCAAAAGGTATGTATGTATGTACTCCGGTTATTAATTACCTTTCCTCTGATGAGTCATTCTTATGTAGTGACTTTTAATGGTATTGGACTTGCAGGTGCAGACGCTGCAAGAAATTCTTGTTTTGTCCGAAGATTTGCCGCAGAAGAACGCCGCCCTGGTCCAGATGGATTTCTTGACTGTGATTCTTGATCTGGTTTTCGGGGTTTCTGCCAATTCGGAGAAGATAATCAGCATGGGATTCGCAGAGCAGGGACTCGTTTGTGCGCTCAAGTTGATCCCTTTCAGTGGAACGGAGGCCGTCAACACGGTGGCAGATCAAGAATCTAAATTTGCCAACTTTCTGACCCTCTTCGAACGCGGCAGCTCACTCGTCAAGAAAAGCCTCTGCAATTTAATGGAGGCTGCCGCTTCGTCTCCGGAGGCAAGAAAGTTCTGTTATTTTCTTGGAAAATCCGGCCGGCTACTCCGGCAGCTTAACAAAGCCATCAACGATGAACAGTGCGACGTTTCTACTTCGGCGATCGGGGCCGTTTCGGCTCTCTCGCGCCAGGAACGGATCGGGGATGCCATGGTGAGGAAAGGGGCGGTGGATTCGCTGATAAAATGCGTTCTTGAGAATTCCAACAATTGCAAAACCAGCTCGGCGGCGGTGGCGGCGATGAGGGCCATTGAGCTGCTCGCGGCGGGGACGGAGGGCGGGAAAAGGGCGGTACTTGAGAACCCAGACGGGGTCAACGCGGCGGTGAAGATGGTGTTCAGGGTGTCGTCGGATCACGGGGGGAGCGATGCGGCGGTGAGGTGTCTGGCGGCGGTGTGCGAGGAGGGGATGGAGGCGAGGGAGAGGGCGGTTCGCGGCGGAGTGCTGACTCAGCTGTTGTTGCTTATTCAGAGCCAGTGCTGTGTGAGGACAAAGACAAGGGCCAGATTGCTGCTTAGGCTCTTAAGATCCATGTGATGATTGTGTGATCCTGCCCAACTAAACCCAAAAAAAAAAATCATTTTTTCATGTTTAGGTGCACTGCACTTTTTTTTATCTCCAAAATGTTAAAGCCTTAGCGAAAATTGTACCCAAAGTTTACGGATTATAATGAAATTACTTTTATCATAACTACTCCATACAATTATACAAAATTTATTGTCAAAAATTTAATAAAATAAGAAATGACAAGACTATATTATTATTTTCTTAAATTGGTCGCGAAACTAGGTCAAGACGGTGGTTAAAGATTTAACCATATGAATCGTAAACGGACAACTTATATTGAGACGGGATATATAGAATTGTATAATTCATTAAAAATGACGTTTTCAATGAAGGCTTAAACTTGATAATTTGTATTGTTTTGAATGTTTTCTAAGCAAGCAAGACAAGAAAGTGGAAGACTAAAAAAGTAAACCCATTTAGGAGTTCAAAAAGAAATCAAACGTGCATTTCCATCACTAAGAACATCTCCAAGGGATACTCTAAATTTTGGGAAGCTAAATGCTATTATAGCTTCGGAACAGTGATTTAGCACTCCATTTTTTACCATCTCTCCAATCATATCATCTACTTTTTACAATTTTATAATATTTTTTAAAATACTTTATTAGTTTAAATCTTAACAGTGAAAAATTTGAACAGATTTCTTCAAATTCAGCCTTGAATTGCAACCCCACGGAAAAAGAAACTCATGGATAATCTGCTTGAGTCGATTCCAAAACACCAAAAATTTGCAAGAAAACAAACAAATCAAGATGATGATGGCAACCTAGGGAATCAGATGGGAAGAGTGCCGCGAGAGTACATGCATCAAACTCAGACTTCACTTTTGCTTCCATCTTCACCGTGCACAGATATCAGAAGCAAAGCTCAAAAAATATAGAAGACCGCACATTACCTTTTATAATTGAAGGATGAAAAAGCAATTATAGAGGATAATTCATTTTTGGAGGGTGCGTTGGAGCTTTCTTTTAACAACAGTAAAAGGTATACCATCTATTTTTTAGCATATGACATATGCATTGGAGTTGCCCTAAGTACGTTGATCATAATATGGAGTATTTTGAGTATTTGCCACCAGAGAGAGTTGAAATACTTAACTACTTTTCCAAGTCGTCTCTAATGCGCATTTTGGTAGAGCAATACAGGCAGCCACTCAGTCGCTCTCGAGTGACTATAATGGTCGCCATTATATTAATCCACAAAGAAGAAGATATAGAACCACTCAGATATTAGAGATACTGAATCAATCCCACCAGATGTCATGGGATACGATTGATCGAGTTAGTTGTTGTGTGTTCTTAATTATCCTCTCCATGTCTCAAATCCTAGCAGTCGTGCCTCATCCCTCATCAAACCTCTCATGGGTGTGCCTCGTGGCCAAGTCCCGCTAACTCATCACTAGCTCGTATAGCGCCCATCGGTCACTTCCAGGTCAGGTCCGGTTGGCTAGACTCCTATCGTACGTCGGGACACATATATATTTAGAGCTTGTTATGGTGCAATAGTAGTAATTAGACGTGAAGGAGGGCATTGGATCACTTTTTAATTCATTTTTTATAATGAAATACTCCGTAGTAAAAAAAAGTTCGTTTTTGGACGAAAAGAACAAGTAATAATGAAATTAAACGTGTATTTTTTTCCCAATAAGAAAAAAAAGAGAACTACATGTAATTTAAGTCTTGTTTGAGATGTTCAAAAAATGTAAAAGTATAAAGTCATAGATGGTAAGTTGTGGGATTCATTTCCAAAAATCCCATTAGTAAAGTGGATAGGACATGATCCGGTTTGACACACACTATTATGTACCACTGGCCGGCCGCCATATGCCCATATTCATGATGAATTTGCAGTTTGACAAATACTGTGTAACTTCTAAGTGGTGCCAAAACTCTCCACTGAATTATATGGAGAAGATTTGAATAATCTATACTTCCAACCACACCAAAATATTACTCCGTATTACTCCCTATATAATTGAAAGATTCTATAAATCCTACTCTCTATTTAAAATTCAACTTCTTTGATTGATCTTCTCAAAATAATTTAAAATTTTGACACTCCGATATTTAAAGCAAATAAAAATATTCTTATGAAACCAATTCAATCCAATTTAAAGATTAAGCTTGTAATTGTATATTCAAAAAAGGTTTTATATTCTGAAAAAAAGCATTGCCATGCTTCAAGAATGATTTATGCTCTAACGACTTTTGCATTGTAAAATTATGAACCGGCCAGAGTTAACAAGAACATCATGGAGTATTATATTTTAGTTAGGAATCGAAAAACCTAGCATAAACAATTCAGACATTGCCACGAAGCAGACAGAAAAATATGATCCCTCCTCTTTAAAGACTTGTACGTGGTCTTAAGGTCAATGTGGACCTTCTCATATTTTCATGAGATTCACATGTAGATCTTTTCTTTTTTTACAAAAGGCTAATTCTTTCGTGATGTTTATATAATGCATGTGCATTTTGTCACACTTTTTATGGGAATGACGACAACTATTTTTTGTTTTTGCAAAATATTAAAATTCTTTTATGGTGTTTATATAATATGGTCTATAAAATAAGAGTGAAACCAAAAAATAAATAAGAATTTGTCCTTTTTTTAAATGACATACAATTATACAAACCCACTTTATTTTGTCTGGTTTTATCATTTTTGTACGTTGACTATCTTTAAAAAGAACCGCATAAAATGGTGGGTGGCGAGTGCACTTAAAATAGTTAATGGTATAAGCATGCGCGGTAATTAATGGTTTGTAAGCGCACTAATTAACTAGAGTAATAATTAATGTCAAACTTTATTTCCTTCTCCAACACAACAAATTATTTGAGAGGCAGCATCATAACCTCAACGATTTTTTGCCTAATGGTAATGAAAGTCCTTAAAATTTGATCGAGTGAATAGTGAACATGCAATATAAATTGATTAGGAGCGAGTAATTCTATAATTATGTAAATATAAATGAAAACAATTATAGTCAAAGATGAACAAGGGAGACAGAAAAGACAAATGGTTAAATAAACAAAACTCAAAGCTCAATAATTTGACATTGGTGTGATGACCAGGAACAGAAAATCAATGTCTGACATTTGGAGTCGTAGCTCAAACCTAAATGTCTAACTAAAGTGGACTTTCAAACTCATGTTCACAATTGTTTTCAGCATTGGTCTCACATAAGGGAAGCACAAACTTAGCTAATTTAAGACACCTAATTTGGATACCACTGTCAAGATACGCATCATAATTAACAACACAAAAAACCAACTCCATTTTGTATCACACCCAAAAGAACCTAATCTGCTCAAATTGAAATCGAATTGGGATTACAATGCCATACCTGTTTTTCTGTTCATTGTTCACTTTGTTTCACCTGATTGTGCTTTCCAGCTTCAATCATCAGCTGTTTGATGCGTTCACTTTCTTCACTGATGCCCTTCTTCTCGAGCTCTTGAACAAGTTTTCTGTACATGGTGTCTGTTGGCACAAATCCTTTCTGAACTGACTGCTCAAAGAGGGAACAAGCGTACTCGTGTTTCCCAATCTTACAAAGCCCACCAACCAAAAGAACATATGTCTGGAGATCCATGGCGACATCATTGTTGCGCATGTGATTCATCAAAAACGACAAAACTTTCATTCTTTTCAGCTTGCAACACATCTTCAGCAGCTGTGCGTATGTGTTGAGGTCAGGCTTGCATTGACACTCCTCCATTTTCTTGAGTAATTTGAGTGCTTCCTCTTCTTTCAAGCTCTTGGCAGCAAGACGGATCATTACGTTGAAAGTCTGCAAGTTAGGGGTTATTCCCTGTTTGGTCATATCCTCAAACACCTTGGCAGAGTCATTGAGTCTACCGGAGCTATAGAGGATGTTGATCAGAACCCCATAAGCATGCGCATCCAGACAACCGATTCCCTTCATTTTCTCATACATCTCTAGAGCCTTCTGGTGTTCCTTTGCACTCCCAAGGGCTTTCATTACTATGGAATATGTCACTACGGTTGGAGGGCACCCCTTCTTTTGCATTTCATCTAGGGTGGCATAGACTTTGGGGAAATCTCGTTCGCGACAGTGGGCTTCAATAAGGCAAGTGTATGAGACGGAATCTGGAGAGAAGCCATGCCTCACCATATCTTGGATGGTCCTCTTGGCTTTCTCCATATTCCTAATTTTGCACCATCCATGGATTAACATATTGAATGTGCTTGGATTTGGAGAGATATGAAGTTTCTCGTGTAAATAAACATCATAAGCACGCTCCACGCTTCCACCATTCACCAATGCATTGATCAATATATTCACCAGATTTGTATCCTTGTGCACTCCGAATCGCTCCAATCTAGGAATTGCCTCAACTGCATCCTCATAGCAACCAGCCTTTCCAAGCCTTCTGATGACTATAGTGGCGGTCTCCAATGTGATGTACCCTTCTAAAAGACTCATTTCTTCCACTAATTCCCACATCGCAGCGAAGTTCCTTGTCTTCCCCAAGTTGTCAATCATTACATTGTACAAATAAGGAGGGAGGTTAAAGTTGGACTGCAGTTTTACCCATTTAAAAAATCCATATGATTTTATCCACTCATAGCTGAATCTTTTGAGAATTCTCTCTACCAAACCTTCAGACAGATCAACATTGCAGACACCTAATGCTTGAAGGACATCATCTGGTGACTGGAACGGGTTTTCCAAAGTTTGAGAGATTTTATCAACATCACTAACAGCACCATTTTTCAGACCCTCGGCACCAATTCCTTGCCTCTGAAGCTTATCATTTTCAATCCAATCCCATAATGAAGGTATTACAAAATCATCATCATCTTCAGGTATATTAGACACATCCTGTTTTATTTCACCTGGAAATTTAACCCAACCTGGAAGCTCCGGAGACTCATTCATCTCAGGAAGCTCGTCAACTTTACTCGTCCCTGTTAGTGTGCATAATCTGTTGACCAGGAATGCACCCCCATAGCCGAAGCAGTGATAATTATTTCTATAGAAGTCCAGATTTCCCATGCTTCGTGAGCGCCAGAAAAGCTGGAAATGTTTCAGCTTCAATATCATTCTTGAAAAAGCTGCAAGTCGATGATTAGCAAATGGAGTAAGGTCTTAATGATTATGGACGGAAAGAATTATTCACTAAGAAAATATGAATTTCGTTATGGGGACATTTTCCGATTCCTAAAATAAATACACCATCCATGGTCGTAAGTTCCTTAACATCACATACATTTTAAAGATTCTACATCGTCTAACTGAACGGGAATTGTTTCAATATGAAAAAAAAACGTGAACATAGATATTGCATAAAAACTAGAACTAAAACTAAGGTTAAATTGCACCGTTGGTCCTTCATGTTTTTGCGTCATGCACGGTTAGTCCTTCAACTTTATAAAATCCATGAATGGTCCTTCAAGTCACATTAACATTGCACGATGGGCCATTCCGTTAGTCCATGCATTTTTTCTATTTTCATTATAAATACACATGATGAACTCTCTCTTTTTCATACAATTGAGTCATATTTCATGTGGATCTATTTTAATTGAAATGTTAGGTACAAAATTAACAGTGAACTGAAAAAAGTCAAAACTTGATAAACCCTTTAGTATCTTTTCAAAAAAAAAAAGACTGATAAAAGCAAGAATAACTTTATTACTTATTATTATTAAAAAAAGTGTGGCCTAATAAAAGTAAGAATAACTTCTTCTTATTAAAAAAATGGATTTATATTAAATACGGGGTATTTTTCAATTGCATGAAGAAGAGAGGGTTCCTTGCGTATATTTATAATGGAAAATAGAGAAAATGCATAGACTAACATGAAAATTAACATAAGGACCAACTGCGCAACGCTAACATGACTTGAAGGATGATTCGTGGACTTTATAAAGTTGAAGGACTAAACGTGCATGACGCAAAATTTTGAAGGACCAACAGGGCAATTTAGCCTAAAAGTAATGGAGAATCAAGAAAACCATGGGAAACTGATTTCAGATTGAAAAAACTCTATCAATTAACAAATTAATAATATTGATGATAATAAATAATAGACAAAATGGGGGGGGGGGCAAAAAGAAAATCACATAGTATAACAAAGAATTTCCAATTCAATATTTAGGAAATGAGCCATCATTCATCAGTGCTCCATGTTGCTAAATTAAAAGGATACACCGAAGCAATTCGCACAGCTTAGATTTCAATTTCATAACAAAAGGTAAAAAATGCGGCATCTGGCCGAAGGAGGCGGTCAATAACAATTTCAGTAGGCAACCACTGGCAGAGGAATTACGATCTAAATTCTGAAATAATGAAAAAAGTAGCCGACGGATTACCTGGGTGGGTCGGAGGGGGAGGGGGCGTCGTAGAGTATAGATGGCGGAGCGGCGCCGCCAGGGTGCCAGGTGGTGTGGTGGCACGGTGTAGACTTCTGTAGAAAGATGAGTGTCAGACGGAGGAGGATTGTTTTAGGAAAAATTGATATAAATACTTTCAGGAATTCAAAATTTTACAATAATACTCTCAAATTTAATAAAAGACTCTGGTGTTCTCAATTAAACTATAAATTTACATTACTACTCCCATTATGCCTAATCAGCTTTTCTTACGCTTACATGTAAGTAATTATGCGTAGTTGACATTTTAGTTGTTTTTTTGTTTTAATAAGAGGAAAAAATTATATAAATACTCCCTGAAATTCAAAATTTTACAATAAACTCTCAAAACCAAATAAAGACTCCAGTACTCTAAAAAATATTTTCCTTTTATGTGTTACGATATTTCATAAAAGTGGTGTGAAATCAAAAAAATAAAATTATATATCTAAAAACTACATCATAAGATTTATAAAACTAGTAATGATATAATTATATTATTTTATCAAGTATATAATTAAAATAGATAAGTAAAGTAAATAAAATTTGATCTTGTTAATATTCTTAACAGTCAATGAGAAGATAATTTCTGGACGGAGGGGGTATTTTGTATTAAAATATAAAAAAATAACTATGATGTCAATTAAGCTCAATTAATTAATCTGTAATATTACTAAAAAAATTATTTTTACATATTACGGAGTATTATATTAGTTTTTTAAAGGGAGTATTTTTTAGAGTCACACCACTTTTATGAAACATCGTAACACGTAAAAGGAAGATATTTTTTAGAGTACTGGAGTCTTTATTTGGTTTTGAGAGTTTTATTGTAAAATTTTTTATTTCAGGGAGTATTTATATAATTTTTTCCTCTTATTTAAACAAAAAAAAACAACTAAGATGTCAACTAAGCATAATTACTTACATGTAAGAGTAAGAAAAGCTGATTAGGCATAATGGGAGTAGTAATGTAAACTTATAGTTTAATTGGGAGCACCAAAGTCTTTAATTAAATTTGGGAGTATTATAGTAAAATTTCAAATTTCTAGGAGTATTTATATCAATTTTTCCTTATATTTATGCTATGCGTGGTGGATTGCAGAAATTCGGGAAGAGGAGTAAATAAAAATCATCCAAGTACATACATGCTTTATTTATTACGGAGTATATAAAAAGCTTTCAAAAAAAAAGTACACATAATAAAATATTTTGAATATATATTACAGAGTACAAAATAGGACTCTTAATTTTTTTTCTTTAATCAATATCTCATATAAATGTTATTTTATTAATGATCAAAATTTATTAATTTTGACTACAATAGTTATAATGAAAAAAAATACTCTGAGAGGAAGGTTAAAAAATTGTTTTTGAATTTCATGAGTACAATTAAATAAATTGAATATATAAAATAAAGTTAGTCAATTCTCATAAAATAAAATGGATAATCAGAAGGGAGATAGTAGTATTTTACATGCTAGAGTTTTCAGAGTATTTTGTAAGCTTTGTCTCTAGTCATTTTACAGAGTATGATCCTTAAAATGAGTATGGATGTAAAATCTACCTAAGAACTTGTTATATTAAAATCATTTGTATGTTAATATTTATTATAATTTTTAATTAATCTAAAATTAAAAAATGTATGGATAGGCATATTTAATTAATATTATTATGTACGTACTCATTGCATTCCTTTTGAATCTGTTTTAATAATTTTTACAATCTTCAATGCAATACTTTGATTATCAATATTCATGTTTATTTATAAATATCTATTATAAAAAATTAAAAGTAAATATTAAAGTTTGTATCTATTTTGTCTATGATATGTTATCCAAGTTTAAAAAACAATAATATTGAAAGTCAACTAGTGATATTAAAACAGCAAATCACTTTTATGTGCAAACAATACTGCTTTTGGTACTAATTTTAGATTATGATTTTTTCATGAAGTGATACAAAAATAATCACTTTTGCTAATTCAACACATTGACAAACAGGCTATTAATAGTGATACAAATTCAAGTTTCAAATGCTACAACAAAAGCATTCTTAATTTTACATGGTATGGTATGGTTGATTTCATTTTATAGGATTTGCCACTTACAAGTGGATGATATCGGCAGTCATAGGCCGGAACACACGCTCGGGATCGGACTCGAGCGCAGCAACCATCTCCGGCCACAGCACCGCCGACACCGTCCAAGACCCGTCGCCCAACGCACTCTCTCGTTGACTGACGTACCCAACCCCAATATTCTCCGCCGTGGTGCAAACCGTTCCAAGAACCGGACCCCCGAATCCGAAGTCCAGTTGGGCGACCGGGAACCTCCGGGCGGAGGAGACCATCAGAACAGGGCCGTCGTCGGCGTCAGCTAGGCCGCCGCCCAAGACGAGCTTGGAAAACATGAGCCGCCCCGGCCCCCTGTGGAGCTCGATCCAGTCGATCAAATCAAAGAAATGGTCGGCGTTGGTTGCGGCGGAAATGGCAGTGTGGGCGTGGGTGGCTATCTGTGACGTCTCCTCCCTTGAGTTCCTCCACCGTCAATTCTCCGAACGCGTGGGACAGGACATTTCCGATGTAGTCCTCCGACAGCAGGTCGTCCATTCTCCTTCGCCCGTCCACCACCCATCCCATCTTGCAGCTGATCTTGTCATCGTCATGCCCGCCGCCGGTTCCGCCTAGTGTGGCCATGACCTTCCACAGGTATGCCGAGAAGGCCTCAATTTTGGTCCGGCTGCCGCCCGATAAAACCTGCAATTTGTTGATGCTTGACGCGTCCACGTGATACAGGCGCTTTAGCATCCTTCTTGATAGTGCTGTCGTTGGCATCTCCTCCACCGTGCACGACACAAACTTTTCGTCCAAACATGTGTTCTGCCTGCTGCATGCATGCATTCACCCATTTGATCGAATAATTATTCTTTAATTTGATCATTTCTAGTTGGGTCAAACAAGAATTTAGTAACGAAACACGATTCAATCAAAACAAATGGTAAAAAAAAAAAAGGAAGATGAAGAAGACCATGGAGGAGACCGTGGGCGGAGGAGAAAACGGCGGTGGTCAGGGGAGCAAGAGGGAGGCATCTCCCTAGCGAGTTCCGACCAAGTGAGGAGGAACTTGCCCAAGGAGGAGGCGTCTCCCAAGGCGTGGTCAAACGAGACCGTGAGCGACACACCCCCACAGGCGTAACCCGTGATTTGAGCTTGGACGGCGAAATCGCCGTCGGCGGCCGATTGGTGGGCGGGGACGAGCATCAGGCCGCCTTCGAGACACCGGTTGAGGTCGTGGAATGGCAGTTCTTTGAGGGGGATATTAGCCCGTGCTTCCACGACAAGAACGCCGCGATTGTCGCAGGAGATCTCGGGATAGGCGGTGGCGGGGTTGGCCACGATGCGGCCGGCGAAGGGGTAGAAAAGAGAGAGGCATCGGGACAGGGAAGATTTGAAGTGATCGATAACTGATGGGGAAAGACCCGTTGACGCGGCCTCTACTGGGTGGTTTGGGTTTCGGAAGAAGTAAAAGTAGGTGACGGGGAAGCGGCCGGCGAGGAGGTCGAGATTGGAGAGGGGGAGGATGTGCGGTTTATTTTGGGCGGCGGCGGCGGCGGCCTTAACTACAGATTTTGCGATGAAATCCACTCTGAAGTTGTTGTTGTCTACTCCGACTATAGGGGTAGTCGGCGTCATGTTATCGTCGGCTTCCATATGTACTCTCCGATCCCTGTTAATTAATTAATTAATTAATTAACATAATATAAATGCATTGGGCATTGATTCTGATCAATAAATATATATAGAAACTCATAATGCATGTCCTCCGTTCATGTAAGAGTGGGCGGGCCAGGATGGCTAATGTGGAGTGTGAAGGTCGAACGCAATAAAGCCAACAATATTAGAATGCGTTTGGCTTTTTGGTTGGTTTTTTATATTAAATATTTACATTAAATAACATTAAAATTTAAGTCATTTCTTTGAATAACATTTAAATTGTTTTATGTGAAATTTGCACTAAATAAGACTAAAACATAATGACTTTTCTAATCTAATATTTAAACTTTTTTATTCCCTAAATAGGACTTAATAATGTCTTCGTGGAAGGAATAATGCCCAGTAATGATGGACATTTACTTGAATAATGACTAATTAATAATGACCAAAGGTCCTACATTGGGAAATAAAAACATATGGTCCTATTTTGGGAAAGACATTATGTTTTAGTCCTATTTAGGTAAATTACTCTTGTTTTATTTCCTAAATAGCATTTCATAATATCTATAATGTCAGGCCTGTTTGGGAACAGCGTTAGAGATTAGCGTTAGCGTTTTGAAAAGACTATCTACGGCCAGCATTTAGCGTTAGCGTTTTCAAAGTAATCTGCACCGTTAAAATTTTATCCAAAACGCTAATGCTAATCTCTAACGCTATTCCCAAACAGACCCGTCCGGTGATGACCAATATTTACTTGAATAATAATGACTAAAAGTGCTAAATTGGAAGAAAAACTTATGTGATGCTATTTAGAGAAAGTTATTATGTTTTAGTGCTATTTAGATAAATTTCCCTTTTTATATATATTCCTTAAGTGTATTACCCAAAACTTAAAATGCATTATTCTAGACAAATTTGTGTCCCGCATATAATTAGAATTTTATTTTCTTAGATTTAGAATTTTCAGATTAATAATACTTTAGGCACCCAAAGTTGTATCCTAAGATATGCATCATCCTACCCTCACCATACACTTTTTATTCATAAACCAAACATTAGATCATGAATAATAATAAAAGAAATATTTGCACTAAATAGCACTAAAACTAAAGTCATTTCCCTAAATAGCACTTAAATTGTTTTATTCCCTAAATAGCACTTAATAATGTCCATAATGACCAATGACGACGAATATTTGCTTGAATAATGACTAATGCATAATGACTAAAAGTGCTATATTAGGAAGAAAAACACATGTGGTGCTATTTAGAGAAAGTCATTATGTTTTAGTGCTATTTAAGTAAATTCCTCTTTTCTATTTTTAGATACTCTAATTTTTTTTTGGAAAATAAATCTACTTGTACCCCAAAAGTTTTACACTTAAATAATTTATCAATATAAGTATGAGATTGATGACCTACATTAACAACAAAATGCTAATGCAAAATCATCAAAATGTAAATGTAAACTTTTAAAATATACGCCATCCGTCCTATATCTTTCTTCCCGTTGCGCAAAACGAAGAAAAATCTCAAGTTTTTTCAATCTATTTTATTTAATTATTGGTATAGAAATAAAAAATAAAACATATATATTTAAAAACTATATCAAAAGTTCAACAAAACAAGTGGTGACAAGAATATTTTATTTTATCATATAGGGCATGAAAAAACACAAATAAATATAAATTCTCGTAAAGTTGGAATAGTGATCTGGGAAGAAGCTTTTAGGAGAAGGGAGTATTTTGGAATATATACCAAATTACTACGTAAAAGAAGACATACAGATTGGACTTGTATAAAAAAGATCAGGGTTGGACAGAGAAAAAGCCCGGCCCATTATAATTTCCCCTCCCAAGCCACGAAAAAAGAAAACTGGCAAACGCAGAAGAATAAAAACGAGAGAGACGGCCAGAAGCAGACGGCGGCAACAAAGAAAAAGAAAGCGGCCAGACGGAGTCTCCTTCTCGGAACGAAGCGGAGAGTGAGAGTGAACTGCGAGATACCAGAGAGAAGTAGAGGCGGTGAATGTGGACTCCTAATTCAGCGTCTTAATAAAACGCAGCAAAGCAGCAAAGTAAGCGAAGGAAGGAGGAAATCTAAGGTAACGCAATGGAAGCTCTGGATTTTCGAATCCAGAGCATTCCATATGTTCTTTTACGGTTTTTCCATTCTTTGTTTAAGTTTACAGTTGAGTTTCGATTTTGCTATCTAGGGTTTTCAAATTCATCCATGAATCTGATTTCTCAGTGTTATTTTTAAAATTTTTTGATTTCATCTATTGTATACAAGTTTATTGTGTAAAGTTATGTTTTTTTGTAAGTTGGTTTATAAGTTAAGTGATCTTTTCCAAAGATCCATGAACAGTACGGTTTAACACTGAGTTGCTAACAATTTAGTTTCAGATTTTGGCATAATTGATCAGAGAATCAGTTTTTATTCAGTTCATTTTCATTTTCCTTTTATCCTTTGAAAGCGTCTTTATCTTCAAAACCTCCCAAAAACTATTTTGTAAGTTATATTGTATGTAGTCGACTTGTCGGGTAGGCTTTTTTGGCTTGGTGTTAAGAAGATCTTAAGACTTCTGACCCTTTCCGAGTATATGACCTTAGATAGGAGCATTTAGAGATCGAGGACTATGGTAGTGTAGTGGGTCATGTTCATTATGTGCCTTAAATGCGCATTATGTGCCTTAAATGCTCATTATGTGCTAATATGTTGCATGTGTTACTAGAGCTAGGGGTCTCTTGGAAACCACCTCTCTACTTCCAAGTAGGGGTTAGATCTCCATACCCACACCCTCCCCAGACCCTAGTTCTAGATCATACTAGGTTGTTATTGTTGTTGTTGTTGTACAATATATAATATGTTTCCGTGTTTACAACTATAAGTCAATATCAGTTTGCTCATAGAAATATATACGGAATACTTTATTATAAATTATAAGTATAAGCTTTATCAATTTAAACCACAAGTTATTTATTATGAATGATATTTTTATTCTGTTATCTATAACTAATAAGTTATGGATAAAAAGTGTCGGAAGCAATCTGATTTCAAGTTTAAACATATTTAGTTTATTTGTGAGATTGACCCTTACTCACCCTAACTATATGTTTTCAAAGGTATGAAACTAAAAGGGATAAGAGATAAGGTTTAATTTGTAGGCATTATGACGTGCCTAACAAAATTTGGCACCGTTGCCGAGAGATTAATCATTAATGTTATCTAATCTGTTTGATTTCTTTAAAAAAACCAAAAAAAGAGAGAATAAATTAAAGAAAAAAATAGTACAGTAATTAGTTCCCTTTTTTAGGTAGTTTTTTTAGGTTAAGATTCATGGCTTTATTAGAACTAAGAAGTTGCATTGGAATAGGAAGCACATCCAACTAATAAAGAGACTACCTAAAGGAAAAATACTTTTGCCTCGTAGGGAGTTTGGTTCTAAAATAATTCATAAAGGCAGATTCATTCTAGAAGAATTCATACAGATCAAATCCTCAAGCAACTAGCAGAACCTGATTTGGCAAAGCAACCAATGGAAATCACCTTCCCTGTTCCCACTCAATATCACTTATCCATATATAATAAAATACTATTCTAGACGTGTTTATCATCAACATATTTTTTAGATCTGAAACACCACCCTACTGTTCTTTCATCACCCCTGCATCTTTGAAATTTTGTATGAGCACCACCCTATGAATCTTATATTCATGTATGGAATCTATCTTTCTTTTGTCAGCACGGGTGCTCCTTTTCTGGACAGCCTGCCCTTAGTTTTGTTACTATTTCTTCATTCACTTTTGGTTTGAAATTTAAAAAAAAACTGTATTACTACTATCGTACTCTTTACGTGCCACAAAGCATTGCAAAGTTTGACCGGGCACAAATATTAAGGAATATTAGCTTTTTATTTTATCTTTATAGAAGAGAGATAAACAATATGATCCAAAAATTTTCCCTAATTCTCTCCTTAAACGGGAACTGTCAAATTTTAATGGGATGAATGAAAAAGGAATGTTGGCAGAGTTTATTGTGTGTATGAATGATAAGTAATCTTTTCTCTCTTTTTTATGTGTGTGTTGAGCAGGATTTTTCATTAGAGAAGCATGGATGATAGCTTGTATGATGAATTTGGAAATTACATCGGACCAGAAATTGAGTCGGATAGGGATAGTGACAGGGATGAGGAGGAGGAGGAGCTCCCTGACAGGGATGACATTGATAGGGATGCATCTGATGGTGAACATGCACATGGAGTATCAAACGGGTGGCTAATCAACCCAGATGATGTTGATATGGATAATCAAGTTGTCCTTGCCGAGGACAAGAAGTATTACCCGACTGCTGAAGAGGTTTATGGCGAGGAAGTGGAGACATTGGTGATGGATGAAGATGAACTTCCCCTAGAGCAACCCATAATCAAACCCGTTAAGAACCTGAAGTTTGAATTGGGTGTCAAAGATTCATCAACTTACATTTCAACCCAATTTCTACTTGGTCTCATGTCTAATCCCGCACTAGTTAGAAATGTTGCTTTGGTTGGACACCTGCATCATGGGAAGACATTGTTTATGGATATGCTGGTGGAGCAAACTCATCACATTTCTACATTTGACAAAAACAGTGAGAAGCACCTGAGGTATACGGATACAAGAATAGATGAACAAGAAAGGAAGATCTCAATCAAGAGTGTACCAATGTCATTTGTTCTTGAAGATAGCAACTCCAAGTCATACCTCTGTAACATCATGGATACCCCTGGTCATGTCAACTTTTCTGATGAAATGACTGCTGCACTTAGACTTGCTGATGGGGCAGTGCTGATTGTTGATGCCGTTGAAGGTGTTATGGTAATTTCTCAACATTCATCTAATTATAAGTGCACATCTTTCTCCTGGCGGATTGGTTAAATACAGTCTATCACTCTATCCCTTCATTTATTTCTTCTTCATTATACAAAGTGGTATACTGGTATGCACTTTTCTGCTGATAACTGTTCTGATGTTAGCTTGAATAGTTTATCCTCACAATATAAATAACCAAACAATACATTATTCAAATATTTTCAGCCTGTTCTTTTATGCATTTCTTTTATGTTTCACAATTTTGAACTTAGAAAGCGTCTCTTCTGTTTGATGAATTGGGAGCATTTTTTCAGACACTTGTGCTTATCGAGTTGTTGTGATTGTATTAATCTTGTGGTCTTCATGGATGTGCTTTTGTCTGCATGTTAACAGGTTAACACTGAGAGAGCTATAAAGCATGCAATCCTAGATCGGCTTCCCATAGTTGTTGTGATTAATAAGGTATGGTTTTCGAAAGTTTAATTTGAAGCTACTCTTTTTTCGTTGTAATGTTTGAAGTTCTATGAATTATCAGTTTATTCACTCATCCTATTTTAAATTTTAAGAAATATCATTTACATCGTTACTGATTCCATCAATCTGAGCTCTCTTTTTGAATTGCTCATTCAATGAGCATTGAAGATATCCTTGTGCCAAGGGTCTTTTTGAAACCTCTCTACCCTTATAGGTAGGAGTAATGTCTGTAATGTATACATCCATCCTTCTGAGACCTCACTTGTTTGACCTCATTGGCTTGTTGTATTATTCAGGTTGATAGGCTGATCACAGAACTCAAACTACCCCCCAAGGATGCCTACTTTAAGCTTAGGCATACCATCGAACAGATCAATACCCATATCACAGCAGTATCTTCCACAGCAGGAAATGCCCAAGCCATTGATCCTGCTCTTGGAAATGTTTGCTTTGCAAGTGCCACTGCGGGATGGTCTTTCACACTTCAGTCTTTTGCGAAACTTTATCTAAAGCTACACGGAATTCCATTTGATGCCGACAAATTCGCATCCAAACTCTGGGGAGATTATTACTTTGATAGTAATAGCAGAAGTTTCAAGAAGAAACAGCCTGCTAATGGTGTGGAAAGATCATTTGTGCAGTTTGTTCTCGAACCCCTTTACAAGATCTACAGTCAAGTAATTGGAGAGCACAAAAAGAGTGTCGAAGCAACTCTAGCAGAGCTTGGTGTGACCCTTCCAAATGCAGCTTACAAGCTAAATGTTAGACCCTTATTGAGACTCTCCTGCAGTGCTGTTTTTGGTAGTTCCACGGGCTTCACTGATATGCTGGTACACCACATTCCATCTGCTAAAGCAGCAGCAGCTAGTAAGGCTGAACACATATATACTGGTCCAAGAGATTCTGTTATTTATCAAGCAATGAGGGATTGTGATCCTGCTGGTCCGTTAATGGTTAATGTGACCAAACTGTATCCTAAGGCAGACTGCAGTGTTTTTGACGCTTTTGGCAGGGTCTACTGTGGAGAAATCATGACAGGACAAACTCTGCGTGTTCTGGGAGAAGGGTATTCACCAGATGATGAGGAGGATATGACTGTAAAAGAAGTAACTAAATTGTGGGTATATCAGGCGCGGTATAGAATACCTATAAGTAAGGCTCCTCCAGGTTCGTGGGTTCTGATTGAGGGTGTTGATGCTTCAATAATGAAGACAGCTACCCTTTGCAATGCTGACTACAATGAGGATGTCTACATATTTAGGCCTCTTCAGTTCAATACTCTTCCAGTTGTAAAAACTGCAACTGAGCCTTTGAACCCAAGTGAGTTACCTAAAATGGTTGAGGGCCTTAGAAAAATTAGCAAGAGCTATCCTCTTGCAATCACGAAAGTTGAGGAGTCTGGGGAGCACACAATTTTGGGTACTGGAGAGCTGTACCTGGATTCCATAATGAAGGACCTTAGAGAGCTCTACTCCGAAGTGGAAGTGAAGGTGTTTGTTTAAAGCCTCCTTATTGTGATGTTCTTTGTGTCACAACTCACAAATACATCGGGATGCATGGCTTGATTCCCTCTTTTTTAAAATAATTGTAGGTTGCTGATCCAGTTGTCTCCTTTTGTGAAACAGTGGTGGAGTCTTCTTCAATGAAATGTTTTGCTGAAACTCCAAATAAGAAAAACAAAATCACCATGGTAAGACACTTTCACTTATAATTTAATGACTAATCTTTGAAAATTTAAGTTCATGTTTTGCTGAATACTATACGATTCTATAGGTTGCGGAGCCCCTAGAGAAAGGGCTTGCTGAGGATATTGAAAATGGTGTTGTGAGTTTAGATTGGCCTCGAAAAAAACTTGATAACTTTTTTCAGACCAAGTATGACTGGGATTTGCTTGCTGCACGATCTATTTGGGCATTTGGACCTGATAAGATGGTAATTTGATAACTAGATCTTTCTTTACCACTCCTCATATGTTTTAACTTCCACTATCGAATTTCATTTCAATATACTATCAGGGACCGAACATTTTACTGGATGATACACTGTCAACAGAAGTGGACAAGAATTTGTTAAATGCTGTCAAGGATTCTATCGTGCAAGGGTATTTGAAGTTATTCCCTTTTTATATTTCATAATAATAATAATAATAACAATAATATCCTTCATCATCTCCGACGGAGCCAAAATTTCACCAATAACAATAATAATAATACGTAATAATAATAAAATCCACTTTTGCTTCCACGTCTATTTGTTTATTCCTCTTTTGGTCCCTGCAATTCAATTTTCACTTTCAAAGCACTTTCTGGCCAATTATTCGGCCAATTTCTTTACAATTTTTTGGTTGACTCTTGCTGGATAAGTTAGTGACTAGAAAGGACCACAAGACCTAAATTTGCAGAAATTTGAAGCCGTGCACCAATATAGAAAAATGAATTCAGGGGCCCAAAGTGGGAATGCCCTAATAGTAGTGGGACCAACATCTAAAAATGGTCTAATAATGATAATGAGTCTTGCCAGGTGAATTGATTAAATACTTCTTTACAGATTTCAGTGGGGAGCTCGAGAAGGACCACTATGTGATGAGCCAATCAGAGGGGTCAAATTCAAAATAGATGATGCCAAAATTGCACCAGAACCATTGCATCGGGGAACAGGGCAGATCATCCCTACAGCAAGGCGTGTGGCTTACTCATCCTTCCTTATGGCCACTCCACGGCTCATGGAACCTGTGTATCTAGTGGAGGTAATTCCATTTATGGTAGACTAAGCATCATGTTTACTTCTGCATATAAATGCACTAGAATTTATTGTTTTTTTCTCACTAATATAATGAGCCAATGAGGAAGAAATAATTAAACATAGACAGCATGTGTGGATAACTTTACTTGAGAAATTACATAAAGATCAAGCTAAACCGAGCAATAATATCTTGCCTGGTACTCGTAGCATTCAACTTGTTTTTTTCTTTAAAATTTTAAAAAACTTAGGAGAAGCTCCCACCTGTTGACATCCCTATTGTGGACTGGAATGTTCAAAACCTATTGGTTCATTTGGTTGAGCTTATTGCCACGTGGGTTAAAAACTTACAATAACCTTCAAAATATCTATGCTATTCAAATTATCTTGTACCTAGATAATTTCAGCTCAACATACTTATTTATATAGATGTAGCATATATGTGGGATTTTACTTAGTCGTTGTTGTTAGATGTAGCATAGACATATATTCAAATTTAGAATTTGTTCTCTCTAATTTAATTTAGTTCAGATTAGGCTAGACTAACATCACATGATAACAAATCTCTTATAATATCAGATCTTATAAGAACAGTACAGCTCCTAATTGTTTACTAAAACCAACACTTTTTTTATAATTGTTATTTCAGATACAGACGCCTATCGATTGTGTTTCTGCTATATTCCAAGTGTTGTCACGCAGGCGTGGACATGTTACCGCAGATGTTCCTCAACCGGGCACTCCAGCCTACATTGTCAAGGTATACTCTCTGAATTTATAGGGATATATTGCTTAATTGTCCCCAAATTCATACGCAGCATGTTAATATTCATAATTTCATATTAATGTCTCACTGCCATTGTTTGCACTTTTGGTCCAAGTAATTCCTTATTTTGGGTGTTTTTATATACCTTCAAGAAATGTAAATAAAAATATTTCAAAAGTATAAAATTTGGATCTTGATGGCACTGTTTCTGCCAAGTAATTTTCTTTATTTAGCTAGATGTGTGTCATGGGACATTAGGTTTAGTGGCACCATTTCTGCTAAAATTGCTTTTATCCCATATTCCCATGCATAATAAATAATGTTTCTTCCACTTGTTTTGGGCATAGGCATTTTTACCTGTTATTGAGTCATTTGGCTTTGAGACGGACCTGAGGTATCACACGCAAGGGCAGGCATTCTGTGTTTCTGCTTTTGATCATTGGAGCATTGTTCCGGGGGATCCTCTTGATAAGAGCATTGTTCTACGCCCACTTGAGCCTGCCCCCGTTCAACACCTTGCTCGTGAATTCATGGTAAAGACGAGGCGTAGGAAGGTAATTTACTCATTTGACCATGCAATTTACCATTTGGTCCTTGGATCTTATTGTTTTATTCTGGCCTAATTTCACACTTTTCAAAGCTGAGGAATCACATTTTAGGCTTTATATCCTTTGGTTTGAAGTCCTGTTACACTGTGGGTTCCTGAATATATAATCACATGGATTTTTAAAATATGGAGGTAATATCAGTTAAAGAAAATTTTGAATAAAGGTGTCTATATATTGTCAGGGAATGAGCGAGGATGTGTCTATCAACAAGTTCTTCGATGAAGCCATGATGGTGGAGCTTGCACAACAGGATGCAGAGCTTCATCAGCAAATGTTTTAGCGATATTCCCAGAAATGCTACTTGAAATGTATTCATATGATCATGATATTCTGAAAATCGACGGAAGCCAATTTGGATCAAACTAACTGCAGATTTGTTGGGATGAAATCTGAATTCTGAAATTGTTTGCGCAGTAAGTCTTTTTTTTCTGCCTAAGCTTGTACTGTGGTGTGTGTAGTTACTGTGGATTGTTACCATTAGAATTTGGTAAATTTTTAAAGATTCATTGAAATCCACTCTAATGTTTGTTAGAAGCCTGGGTGATGCTTTAAGTTTTGATTAATACCCAGTAAATCCACGAACTTAACATTCATAACTTCACAAGGTTTCATGGCATCTTCCTCTACTCAGTTTTACCTTTCGTAATCATATTTATGCTTCTCCTAACTAGACGTTTTGACATTAGGCAACAATTCTAGTTGCTTTTAAGTAATGTTTATAGGAAAAATTTACAACAATACTCTGACAAATTTCTGACAGAGTGATATTATTAACATTTTATTTTTTCTAACATTTTCTAATTTTTTAGTTTTTTAAACATCAACTTCAGAATTCTAACAAAAAAGAATAAACCTTAAAGAAAAAATAAGGAAATATTTTTTTTATGAAAAAAAAATTATTTTTCAAGTCATCACTTTAAAAATTTATTTTGATATTATATAATATGATTGTGTAAGTGAGGTGGTGGGTAGAGTGCTTAAATAGGGAGCAATTACTCCGTATTCGGGTAATGATGTAATTAATTGATTTTTGGAGTATTCTAGTGAAATTAGAGATTTGTTGGAATAATCCTGTAAATTTTCCATTTTTATAATTTCATGGAAGAATTAGTTGACACATACGGTGACTATTTGTTGCTTTTGTGAATTGATGTTTACATCAATTGTTTGAGATAGTTCCTAAAAAAACTTCATTAGCATGATGAGCGGTTTGTATTGATTTGAGATTTTAAAGTAGAAAATGGTTGACCAAAAATGCTACTCCCTCACTAGCTTCCTCTTAAAATGTTCTCCCAATTTCTTTTTTTGTGCCGTTTTAAAACTTTCTTAATATTACTTGAAATAGAAAGAAATTTTCCATTAATAACCTTCACATTAAGAAGGCATTCTAGGAGATCTTAGCCTTTGAAGTTTTCATTCTTAGAATCGGGTGATTATGGATGAGCTACTTTTATAAATAAAAAAACAAAAAAAAAAAAAACAGGATGACACCCCATCCCTGAGTCTCTCAGCACCAGTTAGACAATGAGCTAAGAGGAGCTAAATTGAATTCTAATCTCAATTAATTGGCATAAGCGTGCATGGAGTTCTGCCCCTCGTACTTGCAGAAGTCCCGATGAACTGCTTTTATGATATGACAATTGATGATCTCTAGTGACGATAGATAAGCTATGAAGGGCAAATCTAGGAATCAGGCTTCCAGAACAAGTGTAGAGCCGAGCGACTATTGATTCACTCCATTTTCGATAATAGTCGTTCGATGATTGATGACATTGGGCGAGATGTATACCATAGATCTCGGAATTGGGCTCTCATGAAGCATGTTTGCGACCGCCTGTCAACCATAACCAATCGTGAGCGTGTCCAACAGTCGTTGTCTCTTATCTCTTCTCTCCTTCCCAAAATAATTATGTCGTTGTCAACAACACGTCACCACAACCAATCTTGATGAGCGTGTCCTAACACATTCGTTACACTCCTCTTTTTGATCTTCTTGATTGCCGTACATGTCATCGCAACCACCAGTAGACCGACGCTATGGACGCCATTGATTTTGATGAGCATGTCTAATAGTCATCGTCCTTTCTCCTTGTATATTAAAAAAATTGTGTGCGTAACTGACAACTTTGTAGAATTACATTTGTCTGTTTTTCTTCCACGGATTTCGGGAGCTAGCAGAGAAAAAGGCTTAGAGGATAAAAAGAAACTATACGCTCTCGCTCGAATCGTCAAACCTCTTGTCGAAAAAAAGTTCAACGAACGCACCTTTAAATTATATTATTATTGAATAGTACTCCATTTGTCTCATACTCCGTAAAAGAGTTCAGCATTTGACCTGGCATAGAGATTGAGAAAACTAAAATTACGTGGTTAAAAGTGAGGTAGAGGACTGAGAATTTTTCTACCATATGCCTATTTCCAACCGTAGAGGCCTATTTTTACAATTTTAATAAGGATATTTTGGACAAATCAATCCCATAATCAGCTTTTCCTAAAAAATGAAGAAAAGCTAAAATGGTATGATAAAATCTAGGAAAATGCTAGGGGTATACCAAAAGTGTACCCCAAATATCCTCCACTCCCTCCATAACCACAAAAAAAAAGGCAAGTAAAATAAAAAAAAAATAAAAAATAAAAACAAAATAAAATGAATGGTAAAGAGTGGGTTAATGTATATTTGGGATACACCTTTGGTCACCATCTCCCTTAAATCTAAGATTGGAAGGAGGAACAATAATTCCATTTAAACATTTTTTTTAAAGGTAAACGCCAAAATTTGAAGGGATTGCGGGAGGGAGGGAGGGATGAAAATGCAAAAATATGCACATACGGTGAGGGAGATGAGGCGTATGTCGGTAGAAAACATAATTAAGGTGACAGACTTGGGCACGTGTACCGCTATAGGATTTGGCGGCGGCGGGGGATGGGTAATTATATTGGTCGCCGCGCCGGCCACGCAATTCCATAGATCGATCAATCAGATCAGACGACTACTACTGCATACTACGTACTACGCGATATATCTGCAGACGACGACGGCGGCCGTCCACGTACACTTTCACTGTAAAAATATCTTCTTCTTTTTTTTTTTTTTTTTTTGTCTTTGAGTATGCCCTGCGCTAGTGGGGAGTGTACAGTAATCGGAAATGAATGACGGCCCCGCGGGTTATCTATCTATCTATCTATCTATCTATCGTTACATACAAGCTAGTCACGTACGTATTTGCATGCATGTGCCCATCCAGCTCCCAGGCAGGCAGGAAAGACACGCCACGTGACATCACTCTCCCTTTGGGCCGCCTTAGCTGATGATGACCGCCCTTAATAACAGTACGTAATAATTAATTAATAATTAATGTATTATATGTATTAGTACTACTCCGTACGTGTGTATACTGGCCGGAGCGCAGAGCCTCGCCAGCCATATGAATAAGGAACGGAAATGATATATGGACTAAGAAGAAATCAATTATTATTATTATAATATTACTGACTGCATATAATTACTACATAGTACTCGATCGCTGGTAATGGCAAAGGAGGAAGAAGAAGAAGAAGAAGAAGAAGAAGAAGAAGAAGAAGAAGAAGAAGAAGAAGAAGGGGGTGCATTGGCATTAGATAGGAAATCATCCATAGAGAAGGAACCGCCTACGCTCCGTCCACGTCAACTCCAATTCGCCAGGGTATTCTATTATTATTCTATATCTCACATCTCCATCTATATATTATTTACCGACCTTAGGGTGGCCGTGGCCGTGGCCGGCTGCAGGTTGAATAAATTAAATTAGATTAGCTAGTAATTGTATTTGTGCATTTGTAGGAGGCTGCACTTGGTGTGATGAAGAATGCAGCAAGTGGGGAAGAAGCTTCCAGAATCTTCACTAAGGTGGTGGTTATGTCTCTGAATGGCGGCTTGTTATGATCCTCTTTTCAACTCAAGTAATTACGTCGTGTACTACTTTTGCCAAACAAGTTAGTTTGAATATGTCGTATGTATGTACCGTGTAGGGGTTACAAGCAGTGAATAGGTGTGTGCACGACAACAGCGATGACAACAATACTAGTAGCGATTATGAGCTAACAAATGCAGATGCAGTCTCATTGGACTGCCGACGTCATGATGAACATGTAGTAGAAATAGAACAAGAAGAAGAAGAAGAAGAAGCGATTAGGGTGAGGGGCGTGGAGGCTTGTCGCGCCCACAGCCTCTCAGTTTCACAACCCCTCCTCCTCCCCCTTAGAGACATCGCAACTGCACCTTTCTGATCATCATCATCCACTCCCGGCCTCCCTCACGCTTTACTTGATAATAATGTGATTGTGTCTACATACATACATTACTTGATAACGCAACCCATTTTGTTTGTTTAATTATATAGATGGAATAGTAACTCCTTTTTTGAGACGATTGAAAAAAAGAATAGCAAGAAAAAAAAAAAGTTCTTTTCAGGAGTACTGCTGTAATGTTGTACTGCTCTTGATTCTTCAACAACTCTTTGCCTCTTGGGTGTCGTCTTGTCTTTGCATACACCCCCCTCTCCTCTCCTCTCTCCTCTGGGATTTCATTTTTGGATGCTGCCCCTTGGGGGTAATCCCAATTCCAATTCCCTCCTCCATCAATGAGAGCATTTACATATATACATGCATACAGAGCGTATTTCACGGGGGATGGGTTTTGCTTTGACTAGCAGCATGTTTCGACACATACAGTGGCTCCTCCAGATCATCCAGCTCCATGTAATAATTAGCAGCGGCGGCAGCAGCAATGTTGTGGTTTCTTGACATCTCAGGAAGCACAAGATGATGATTGTGATGAATTGGATAAGGATCCCAAATATTGTATGGGATTGGGATACTCATCAAAGGAGGCGGTGGAGGAGGAGGAGGAGGAAGGGGAGGGGGAGGAGGAGGAGGCTCATCATGAGCAGCAGCTGCCCACCAAGTTGCAGGGGGGGAATGAATTCTGCTATCCTCCTCCACCCTCACTTCTGCAGCCTTCTCCAGCTCTCCTAGTAACACACTCTCATCATCATACATGCCGAAAGAGTAGAAGAGATCAAGATCAGCCTGCTGCAGTGGGGTTGGGATGTTTGCAGGCTGCTCTGCTGCTTCCACCGCCCAATATCCATTATCACACAAATCATTTTCAATATCTCCCACTCCCGCCAACAGTTCACTCAGATCTCCATATTCATCCATCCAAATGTCTTCTCCATCCTTGCACTGTTCTGCTCTTGCTAGCTCTGTACTTGTTACATTCTGTAGAAAGAAACAAGGAAGATGATGGGGCACTCATCAATAACAAACACTGTAGAATGATTACCCAAAAGACAGAGAGAACCCGTGTTTGTGTCCCCACAAACTGCCAATTCGAACAAAGGAACTTATTAATTTTCATCATATTTTATTGGTTATTTTATAAGGTATTTAAAAAAGTAACTAATGTCTCAAACTAAGTTTAGCAAACACATAAATTTATTAATAATGCTAGAGGGGAAGAGCCCCAAGATCAATCCCTGAACCAGATTAGGCGGCCCCTCAATGTAGGATTCTCCAAACAGGTGGTTCGCATTAAAATATACATATATTTCTATAATTGACTGTTTGGCAGGTTGCATCTTACTTGAGTTTATTGCTGTATATATTTCTATAATTGACAGTTTTGAGAACATACCATACTAAGAATTCATAACTAACCAAAAAAAACCATGAACACAAATGCATTGCCATACCATCAGTGTAGTAGCAGTGGTCAATTTGAGACAATGTATCATAACAATTAGTAACTAACAGAAAAAACAAATGATGCTTACAAAATTACCAAAAACATTCAAAATTCAAAGATTATCCCAAAATCTTAAACAGTTGATGCTAGCCACTTCCCATTCACATGTTTAAAAGATAAAAGACATTCTTCATCAAGAGAGATGTGATCATGAACCTATCTCATCATGTGGAATTGGGGTATGTGGAGATGTTCATGAGTTCATCTGCCAAACATCATAAATTCATTTCTGTAGATGTTTGGGAGCTGAGCAGCCTTGGATCATTGCAATGCTCTATTCCTACACGTCTTGCTTGATCAAGATTACTAATAAAATCCATGTGTGTTAAATTGGGCAAACTCATACCTCTGAAGTCTCCTATAAATTGGTATGCTGATTTTGGAAAAGATATGTAATGAACAAAAAGCCATAGCAACTGGTATTTAATTAATAACCAAAACATTTAACAAAGAAATAGAGCCAAAGCATTGCGAGCATCATTTCTAACACTCAACAATACAAATGAGCTGATAAAATGGCAGGCTACAAACCTTGTTACTGTTTATCTCAATTGGTGGTGAGAAAATGTCTTCTGAAATAACATTATCTGGCAGTATTTCATTGGCATTGAGTTCAGACAATGATATACCGTGTTCCGCAGACGATGCACCTGGTTCATCCACAGTAAAATTAGAAGAGCAGCCTAGCTCAACTGTGCTACTCACAACCGGGCAGCTTTGGCAATCAGTATGAGCAACAATTGCAGGAGATACAACAGATAGATCTTTTTCATGACATGCTTCCTCATCTTCCCAATCTTCCTCCCTGAATACTCCATATTGGGAGCCATTTTTTGGTCCAGATCCAGCCTTTTCAAAAACTTTGCATATCGTAAATGTATCCTGTAGGACCAACACATTGTTAATATATTACCCACAAAAAAGTGAAGTGTAGAATGAATCATAGATCGAATGAAAAAGGTTTTGAAAAACTTGTCACATTCAAGTGTGTAATATGATTAAACCTAAAAAATACTCCGTATATATTTGTTCAGACCTATTTCTCCAAATATAGAGCCCCAACAATGAGGGGCTCTACATAACACAAGTCAGAAAAAATGACAGATCCTGAATCCTGGTTGACTTGAAGGAATCCATTTTTCCATTCACTTGTTTCAAGAAAAATACCTGAAGAATCCCTGCATCTGCCAAATGTTGGTCTTCCATCCGGTACTCATGTATAACCCAATCTGTTCTTTTCCCTTTGGGTGGAACACCTTCATAAAAGACCAAAGTTTTAATCATCCCAACAGTTCGCCCATCGTATTTGACAATTCTATCATTCCCTGTTGCTTTCCAGAAACCAGTTTCTGTTGCCCGCTTAGATCTAGACCCACTGGCATACTTCCTCTCTCTTTGGCAAAAGAAATACCACTCACGATCTTTGCTTTTCAATCTAGATTTTCCTGCATCAAAGAGAAAACAACAAGATATCAAAATGCTTAGAAATCAGTATCGCTTGACACGGAAAGAGTGCATGTAGAGTGTTTTCCTAAACCTCAAAACAACCAAAATAGCAAGAGACAAAGACAAGAAGAACATAAACTACCTGGAAGCTCCCATGGAGAGTAATGGCAAATATTAAGCTCAGTTATAGCATGCATAGCTTCATCAGGGAATTTCCTGCCTGTGACCTTACGCTTTAGATAGTACATTATCAGCTCTACATCCGTAGGATGGAAACGAAATCCTGGAGGAAGGGCAGCACTCGACATAGGGTAGAGCCGGCAGAATACAGGGCTGCAGAGCAGAATTTGACACCCCCACCACCCCCCTAAAATCTAATCCTCGGGAAATATTACAAACTGAAAACAATAGTGTTTGCGATCAAGAAAAAAAACAGAAGGAAATTAAAATGCCTACGCTCTATAGCTACTGGTAAACAGAAAACCAAACAGTCCCTAACTCCCTCACCTCCCTGGCAGAACACAAACAACAAATGTCAAGTCCAGTGTCGAAACAAAATCTTCAAAGCACACCACAACCTTCCCTGGTTCATGAAAAACAGAGCACTCCGAACAATGAATTGATGCTTCTCACCACAGGAATCAAAAGACATTTGTAACACAGCACGGACCTATTGTTTCACAAGATCATGAGCCTCCATTAAAAGCCCCATAAAAAAAAAGAGTCCAGGGTTTATGAATTGCAAACAACACAAAAATCTTCATCACATTCAAACACATCTCAATCCCCGGGTACAACAATCTTTAAATTCAAATAATACAAGAAACCAATTTCTTTTTTTTCTTCCGCACACATAGAACATGATCAAATGATTGGACTGATGCCAGTTGCAAAACAGTTCATGATGAAAACCCTAGTATCCGATCCGACCCGGAATTAACAGACGAGTACATCAAAGAAATCAAACGAGGCCAAGTGATAAAGAACCAAAAAGCAGGAGCTTACACGAAGATGGGAGAGCAGGGGAGAAGACTGAGAGCGGCTTTGAGGATGACGGCAGAGACGCAGAAGAAGTGAAAAAGAAGCCCCCATTTTAGGCACATGTGTGGCTTATATAGATAGAGAGGAGTATTAGCTCTGTGTAAAATACGCAACGTAAAAAGCCTAGACTGAGCATGTCCATTGTTCGGTCCAAACCAGGACCAATCTCAAATCCGGCCCGGTTCATTTCGTGTGAATTTTACTTCAGACCTTCATTTCACAAATTTGTTTTAATAAACACTCTCCCTCCCTCTCTATAGGTCTTAAATAAATTGAATTTATTTTTCTATTTATTTAATAAGAAAATACTTTGCCCATGAAAAATGTGAGATTTTTATTTAAAGGTACTCCGTATTTAAGAAAAGATTGTATTTTAGTTTTAAGTTTTTAAAAATGTCTTTAGTTGAGAACGCTAAAAGTAGGAGTTGATGAATTTTGAATTTTTAATAACAATGGAAATTATTTTTTTGAGATGGATGAAAAACAGGAAAAAAGTTTTCAGGGACTGAAGAAGAGTATAGCATTATTAATTTTTATTTTGTAGAATGTTACATTTAATTTTACTATATGAATTTCACTTTTAAAATTTACACCTATAATCAAATAAATTGAATTAAAAATAAAGTTGATCAGGCTTTGTAATGCATAATGAAAAAATTTATAAAAAATGCAGAAAGTAGTATGTATTGGGTTCAAAAATATATAGTATGTGAATATAATTTAGAAGAGTGCTAAAAGAACCCCACTTAGAATGCACCAAATGTGCATTAAGGCAAAAATAAGTACACACAGGTGTATCTCATGTGAGATTCCCCAAACATTTTCTATTATTTATCTGTTGGTAACTTGGTATAATAATAAAGAAGTCACCCCAAAGTTTTCTACATCTTTTAACTTGAGGCCTATATTTTTGCTTGAGAAATTAGAGTTATAATATTAAATAGATAATAATATTATTATTGTTTGTTTGACTAAATTATATAAAATATTTTTTGACTTTAAAATGCTAAGGAGTACACTGACTCTAAAATATAAATTTATTTAATGTTTTACTAAGGTTTTTGATCACATTTTATTTAAGAAATGGTCTAATTTAAAACAAGATGTCAAATATAATAAAATCAAATATGATGTAAATTTATTGTGAAAAATTTGTAAAATATTAAATATATTAATTTTAGTTGAGAATATATTTTTCAGTATAATACTTATCCTTTATTGCTGCACAAATAACTGCATATTTCTGTTATTTTTCGTATTCTCGTCGTTCTAAATTGTTTACAATGTTTTAAACGATGTTCAAAATATCATATTTTTTAAAATTATTTTATTTATAAAGAGGTAGAAAAATTGAAAATAAAAATTACATCATTCAAAAGATCTATAAAGTAAAATGTGTTGTGAATATTGTATTTTATCAAATGATTAAACAATACGAGTAAAGAAACAAAAATTATCGAGAAACCAAAATGAAAACTGTGAGATTCTTTTTTAAACGGATGGATTATTTAATAAATTAATCAAAGTTTGTACAAAATAAGTATGAACAATAATACGGAGTATTTTATTTTACGGAGTATCAAATAATTATTAAAAACAATAAACAAATAAAAATTATTAAAATGCTAAAATTAACACACACTGACACACACGGAGTATATGTATAGATCCTGCAAATTAAAGATATTCTGATTGCTGGGTTCAAAAAAAAAAGATATTCTGATTGCTGAGATGAGAGATTAATTAGTTACTCGAGACTGGAATTGTAATTGTAATTGGTAATTGTGTAATTAAGGAGAGGAATGAAGAAGGAGAGAATCGAGCATTCCCAGAAGCACGTCACAAATGCGCCTCAATCCATCCTCTCTGACCCCAAGCTGAACCGGATAATTAGCCAACCCGGGATGCCTCCTGAACCCGTCGTGGCAGGCGTTCGGGTAATCCGCCGCCGCCGCGACCTCCATGTACGCGTAGTCGTACATCTCCGCCTCCATGTCCGGGATCGACGCCCGCAGGGCGTCGCCCGCGTACGAGTACTTGTCCGCGCAGTCCCTCAGCAGCCTCTTCCCGGTTTCTCCGCCGCCGCCGCCGCGAAGGAGTAGGGATGAGATGTAAGACTTGGTGGCGGTGGCATTGGCGATCCCGACGGCAGCCATGATCCTGGCCAGTCCCTTGGCGTCAGACGCGTTGGATCTGGCGGAGTCGGATTCGAGAGAGGAGACGCAGAGGCGGTAGTGCCTTGTGGCCTTGCAAGTCTCGTGTATCAGATCTACGCCGCCGCCGCCGCCGTGGACGGCGATGTTGAGGCAGAGTATCATAGTCACAGCTGGGAAAAGGAATCGATGAAGACGGATCGAGGTGGTTGAGGAATAGTAATAATTCATCACCATTATTGGCTAGCCAGGTTTTTCTCAGATCTGAGCAGAGCAGCAGGTAATAGGGAGAGAACAACTGATGGGGTTGGAAAGATGAATATGCCACACTATATTTTGGAGGGGATGATGATGATGATGGGAATAAGGAGTCAAAAATATGAAGTCACGGGTTTGTTTTCTGTTTAAAAACTAGCCACACTCATCCTCAAATTCAAAAGTTGATTAAGATTGGTACTTCCTCCAACATGTAAATGATTCCTATTTTGGTATCTCGATAACTTTTCTTTATTTATTTGTTTTGGTTGATTATTGAATAAATGAAATATTCTTATCGTATCTTGTTTTGTAAAATTTTTAAATTTTATTTTTCTACCAATTTATACATAAAATGATTTTAAAAGAGATTGTTGGGACGGAGTAAGCATATAAAATGGGTCGTTTTATACTTTTTAGTGAGTCAAATTTTTTTATATTTTTTAGGAGTCTAATTCATTCATAACATTTACTCATATACAAAAATAAATGTAAACACTTTTGTGAAGTTGTGAAAAAATCATTCAACTAAAAATATAATGGTGTTTCTCTACATTTATAAGCTGGTCTAAATTATTTATAAGTAGTTTTATTTTAGAAGTCAGTTGTTAAATGTTAAATGTTTTTGTGTACTTATAAGTTAGTTTATAAGTTGTATATTAGTTAGAAAAAATAAGTAGGTTTTAGCCAATTACGGAGTACTTTTAAGCCATTTTTTCATTTTTCCATTTCAACGATATTATTTATAAAATTATCTCTCACTATTTATAAATTATTTATGTATCATTTAAGTCATTTTACTATCACAAAAAATTAATTTATAAGGAACTTATAAACTTAAAATTATTTATTAGTAATAAACCAATAAACACAATAATTGAGAAGCACTCACTTAATTTTATGTTTGTAGGCTTACAAAAAGGTCGTAGGCTCGTAGCTACATCACGCCTTGCATTTGAGTCCTTAATTTTCTTCAAATTGGGTGTTAGTGACTTTCAAACTCATTACTTCTAAATAAAAATATCTCACATAAAAACTTAATTTCTCATTTTTAATACTCATTTTGCCTATAATTAATCATTGGGTTAATTATTATTTTGGTCCCTGTAAAATTAGAGACTTTTGTTTTAGGTATCTCCAAATTTTTTTATTATAAAATCATCCATGTAAAATTATTATTTTTACGTACAAATAGTCCTTCCCTTATTTGAATATATAATTTGATCCTTGTAAAATTTATAGATTTTGTTTTTAGTTCCTCTAAAGTTCTTTTGGTTCATTCTTAGTCTTTTAATACTTTGTACAAAATTAACATATTCTTTTTAGTCAAGATAAATTTAATTATAATGTCAGAGTCATTGAAATATTTTTTGAAGCTTAATCGAATTGCTATGTTACTAAAAATTTGTTTAAATTTCTTCTAAAGTAATAATTGTTAATAAAAAATCTTTAGCTAAATTAATATCGGGATCGTCTTTAATAACTACCTTTCATTGTAAAAATAGTCACTCTAAAATATGATAGAAATAGTCCGAGATCATGAGTGTAAGAATTTTGCTAAAAATTTACGAGTTTGACAAATTATACTAAAAATTAAAAAAAAAAAGAAATTTGGTATTAATTTAGCAAAATATTTTTAACTAAAAATCAAATTTTTAATTTAGAACATTTTTAAATGAACATGTAAAAATGTAGTTATTCGATTAGGGGGTTAAAAAGATTCCATTGACCTTGTAATTAGGAAATGTTGAATAAATAGAATAAGATAGTCGTGAGTGGAGTATTAAGAATTTAAAAATAGAATTGAATGTACAAAAAAGAATTTTAAAGAAAATTATTAAAGACGACCCCGATAGAATTGAATGAACAAAATTCTTACCCTCACGATCTCAAACTATTTCTATCATGTTTTAGGGTGATTATTTTTGTAATGAAAGATAGTTATTAAAGAGGACCTCGATATTAATTTAGCGAAATAGTTTTCATTAAAAATTACTCCGTATTACTTTAGAAAAAATCTAAACAAATTTTTAGTAATATAGTTATTCGATTAAGCTTTGAAAAATATTTGAATGACTTTGACATTGTAATTAAGTTTATCTTGACTAAAAAGAAAAAGTTAATTTTGTACAAAGTATTAAAAAAAGTAAGAATGAACCAAAAGAATAAGGGAAGGACTATTTGCAAAAATAATAATTCTACAGGAATAATTTTATACTCTCTTTGTCCCTAAATAAATTGCAATTTTTTTATCCCTCCTCTCGAAAAATTATTTTTGTTTACGCGATTTCATTAAGTATTTGATAAAATAAAATATTCTTGTCATCTCTTGTTTTGTAGAACTTTTGACGTAGTTTTTTAATATATAATTTTTATATTTTATTGATATACCAATGTGTGAATAAAATGATTTCAAAAAATAGAAAATTTTTTCGTAACCTGCAATTTGTAATCTATTTAGGGACGGATGGTGTAATAAAGAATTTGAAGGGGTCAAAAGTAAAACTCTCTAATTTTACACGGAACAAAAACATAATTAAACCTTAATATTTTCAAATGGAATGAAGTGTTGCACCAAAAGAAACGGATGGAGGGGCCTCTACGGGTAAATGTCAATCAAGAAAAATTGTGTATACAATCATTTCATTCGGACCCTTATGCAGTTAAATGGGCCGGACCATGCATGCATGCCATACAATAATTGTTGTGTGCAGACTACCTGTTTCCTTTGAGGCCAACCGTCGGTCCAGTCCATTTTGAACACAGCTCCTTGCATTTGTCCAATTGTCCCTCAATATATGGAGGGAATTTGTAGATCTGAGAATCTTTGGTTCTAAAATTCATACTCATTTTATTAATTTCAATATATAAATATCTTTGATGAATTCAGCTCTTTCGAGAAATAAAATATTTCCATGTTGGCTTATTAAAATGTGAGAAAGTCTACATTTTACATGTGAACTTTGGAATAAGACTAGAGAATCACAACTCATGAAGCAAAGGGATGGAGCCTGATGGCTGGCATGGCATGCATGAATGGCAGGATCGACGGGAATCCCGCCTCTGGTGGGATGACAAGTTTTGCTGTGTGATCCCTTGGCCAGTCATCCCGACCGATTTGTTCATCGCCTTCCTCTAGTTTCACTTCAGTGATGACCTTCTTCTTCTCGCGAGGAACAAGCTAACGTGGAAGTCGAGATGTTCTATTGCATCCCGTTTGATCTTATCAACACTTCACCAAAACTATTTTTTAAGTGTAAATCATGAGGTTTTAAGTTATTCTTCGTCTTTTTCATAGTTTTAAGCCAACTTAGTTTTATCATCTTTTTTCATTAAAGTATACTCCTCGTGTCTTAGTCTATTTGTTTAATTTAACTTTTTGGAGTTTAATTAATTGAATTTTAATCATAGATTATTTTCTATTTTTATTGCATATTATCTCATATGTCTCATATCTTTATTTACACTACGTACAACGAAGAAAAATTTCAACTTCTTTCAAAAAAAAAATATTAAAAATTGAAGTAGAAAAGAGGGATGCATTTTCGTAGGAGAAGAGAGGGGAAGGGAAAATTGGAAGGGGATGGGCAATTGGGCACGGCGTTAGCAGAAACTCGTCAAACCATTTTGGTGGCGCCTAAAGACGATAGAGAGAGTACTCGCGGTTGTTAATTTCGCGCCAAAATTCCGCCATTTACCTTTCCCAATTCACTAGCACGTCTCTCCGTCCAGAAACCCTAAGTGGAGAGTGAGGTCAAGTGCTAACTCGAATCTGTTTCACCGTCTGCAGCAGCAAAACAAGGATCGGAAAGGGGTCAGATTTGAAAAGAAATGAGAGGCGGTACAGTTCAGATTAATTGGCACGATACTAAGCCGATCTTGACGCTAGACTTCCACCCCAGGACCGGCGTCCTAGCCACCGGAGGCGCCGATTACGACATCAAGGTTTTTTTATTGTTCATTCATTTGGCGCCGATTAGCTTGATTTTGGCCGTTTAGGCTACTCTTAAATCTTACGGAGTAACATTAGGTTCAGTCCATTCATTTTGCTTATTAACTGGTTTTGGATACTCCTCAGATTAAGGCTGGACATTTGATTAGGCACCATTATTACAAAAAAGTGTGAAATTAAGTTGCTGGGACTTGGGAGTTATGCAGAGAGAAATGAATTATTATGTAATTCATATTTGAGTGTTGAACTCTATTTTGGGACAAAAAAGGTTCAACCTTTTTTTCTCTTGACGGAGGGAGTTCATATCCTATGGTTATGAGAGCTTTAGTTTAGATTGGGAAATGAGGTTCTCAGAACTGGTAGTTTAGATACTAGTGGCGATTTTAGGTGGAATATGTGTTTTTGAAACGGATCTGGGTATTTTTTTCTTCTTTTGATTAAAAAAATTGGGTAACCATTTATATATTTTTTGGAATGGCAATTTCAGTTATGGATAATAAGTTCGAGTGAAGACCAAAAGAAAGCTCCGGGAGTTACATATAAGACCAGCCTCGTTTATCACAGTTCTGCCATAAATGTGATCCGCTTTTCTCCTTCGGGTAAGGTGCATCTTGTGATGAAGTGTTCTTTCTGACTGATAACACAGTTAGATCAGAAAGTAGCGCTAACTTTGTTTGTCGCTTGCCTTTTTTTTAAAAAAAATCTTTAACTCATGTTTCCCTCTAATACTTGCAGGGGAACATCTTGCTTCTGGTGCAGATGGTATGCACTTGATCAAGAGATGTTGACAATTGCTTTTTTTCTTTTCCTATTTGACATTGTGTTCTCAAATTAAATTGTTCATGCTATAGGCGGTGAGCTGTTGTTGTGGAAGTTGCATTCTGCAGATGGTGGTGAAGTATGGAAAGTCCTGAAGTCATTATGGTAAGACTTTCATCTAGAATAACCTTCCAAACTCTGGCTCAAAGTTAGTGGTTGCAGTGTGATAATCAGAATTATTTTAGTTTATCTACCCAAATTTAAGTGAGATATTGATACCCATTACCCACTCAGTCATTCAGTTATATTTTACGGAGTAACTGCTATTACAGAGAAATAGTTTCAAAATCTCTCTTTTTAGATGATCAATAATTGCCCATTTTTCCAGTGTTACACTTCTGTGCCCCTAATGTTGGATGCTACTCACTTTATGATGTTGCAGAAACCACAATACATCACATTGAGATCTGTTATCGTATTTGAAATAATCCACTGTGTACAATTAACATAAAAGCTGGTGGCATTAATAACCAAAAATATATTATGCTGCTTTGTAGCTTTCATCGTAAGGATGTATTGGACTTGGAATGGTCTAAAGATGGCTTGTATCTGATTTCTGGATCTGTCGATAATTCCTGTATCATATGGGATGCAAACAAAGGTGAGTTAGAAACATGAATTTCATTTTGTTCCATGAAGCAAAGAATAATGTTGAGTTAACCCTAGTTCTGATTTTCCAGGTTGTGTTCATCAGATTCTTGACGGGCATTTCCACTATGTTCAAGGAGTTACATGGGACCCTTTATCCAAGTATGTTGCTTCACTCAGCTCAGATAGATCATGTCGTATATACATAAACAAGCCATCTAAAAGTAAAGGAGTCGAGAAGATGAATTTTGTTTGTCACCATGTTGTAGCCAAGATAGATGCAGAGACAGTAGACGAGTCTAAGGTGAGGCATTCATTTGACACTGCTATTCGTTTGATGTCAGATGCTCTATAGTAATGACTAATGAGCTTTTGTATTCTATGAAATGCAGGCTGTTAAAAGTAATCTTTTTCTTGATGAGACACTGCCATCATTCTTCCGGAGATTGTCCTGGTCACCTGATGGATCATTTTTACTTGTACCTGCAGGTATATTCTTTTAGTTATTTTCCCCAGATTAAACTACTCAGTAAAATTTGTTATTCCTCACATGGAGGGACATTTCTTCCTCCACATCTGCAACTTGTAATTTATAAATTTGGAATAATGAAAAGTTTCTTCCCATTTTAAGGTTCTTACAAATGTTCCTCGGCTTCTGCACCTACAAATACTGCTTTTGTATTCTCTAGAAATGATCTATCAAGGCAAGTGACAAGTCACTTTCTTTTCTCTAATGTTAATGCCAGATGACTCGACCCAATATATGGTTTTGAGCACATTCTTGTTGCTTTCGTGTAACTCACACTTGTTCAATGTACAGACCTGCTTTGATACTTCCCGGTGCCAGCAAACCCGTCGTAGCAACACGTTTCTGTCCAGTGGCTTTTAATTTGCGGGGTTCTAATTCATCCACCTGTTAGTTTCATCATTTGTTTTCATCTTTCAAGATAAAAATGAATGTGTTAATCTTTGCATAAGCAAACCAAACAAATTGTCAGCATATTATATATGACTTGTGTGCCTTCTGCAGCGACATTCTTCAAGCTTCCACATCGCCTTGTTTTTGCGGTGGCAACTTTGAATTCACTATACATATACGACATGGAGGGCGTTGAACCGATAGCAATCATAGCTGGAATTCATTATGCTGCCATAACTGACATTGCATGGTACTGTAAGTTCAGATAAATTTTACTGCCCAGGGTATGTAAATCCGATGAGTGCTGCTAATTCATCTACTTGATATTTGATTTAAGGTCACCCAATGGGAAATTCCTAGCTCTTTCTTCTCAAGATGGCTACTGCACTCTCTTAGAGTTTGAAAATGAAGAATTGGGAACTCCTCTCTCAGCATCAGGTTGTTTACTTCTGCTTTCCACATTTTAAACATCTTTCTTTCTTTCTTTCTTTTTAAACATCGGATCAAACATGGAAGTAACAAGTACTGTTCTTATTCGCGGAATTGCCTCTATATAGAAGGAAAGAATGTTGTTGGTGGTGACGTTTCACCCACGGTGGAGTACGTCACACCTCCCTATGGCACAACTGCTGCAGAAGCAGAAGGCAGAAAAGCTGAAGAAGAGACAATAGAGTTGAAATCAGGATGTGCAACTGCCACTTCTACAATTCCCATTAAGGCCACAAAAAAGCGCATCACTCCCATGGCCATTGATTAATCATATATATATATAATGACTATCCCACATAACCTTTCTCTTTTTTTCTCTCTCTTGGCAGGAATGGTATTTGTCTTTAACATCTCTGTAGTTCCTGTTTCCTAATGCTCATTATACATAAATATAATTAATACAATATTCTTACTTGCAATGGTAATTTTTACTTATTTTCTGAGTTAGGAAGATTTTTTTTTGTTTTGCAATGGTAATATTTTAGTACACCTTTGGCAACACATATACTCCGTATGGCCTGCTTCCTCAAAGTCAATACTTGACAAATAATTGTCTGATAGATGGTTCTTCGGAGGTTGACTAAGTCAGTTTCTGTCTCATATCTTATCTTCATTTCTTCAGCCTCGTCTTCATCTTCATTCTCCTCATCAACATCAGAATCCCCTTCGGCTTCTTCCTCAGATTCACAGCCCAGGATTATTGCCTTCTTCACTTCTGCATACTTCTTTTTGTTAGACAATAATACTAATAGTACTTCTAGTAGTATTGGTTATGGTAGTGTTTGATAATTAGTCAGTTTCCTACTCCTATTTGTGGTAGCTAGATGTTGTATGTTAGTTAATTTCCATTCTCTATTCCTAGTTGTGTTAGGAGTCTCTCCTATATATACTCTATCATGTACTTCATAATTCAAAGAGTAATATTATTATTCCAATATTTCAACATGGTATCAGAGCCACCGCTCTTGGTGACCTAAAAAAAGTTCTTTGCTCCCACCGCCGCCGCCGGTAATTCCGGCGACAGCGGCTTCACCCTATTCACCTCTATTTTCTTTTTCTTCTTTATCCTCAAATCAACTTCTCCATTCAAATGAAAAAAAAAGAAAAAAAAACCCTTGTTGAAATCACACAAAAAAAACTATCAAAGGAGGAATTTCTCTCTTGTCATTTCCATGATTCATCAAAAAAAACCCAACTTCTCACAAACTTTCTCAGATCATTCTATCTTCTCAAAAAAAAGAGAAAAAAATGATTGTTGTTTCTCTCCAATTCACCATATCAAAATCTCAGACTCAAATTTTTTTTTTCCATCTCTAATTCTTAACCTACTTTTTCTCTCTAAAATCACTCATTCTAATCATTAACCTCCTTTCTCTTTCTCTTCTGTTGAACCAATAAAAATCCAAAGTAAATCAGTACAAAAGCAAAGCCAAGAGGGGAAGTAGTGAAAGAGGAAATAAGACCTCTACAACTCACTATTTCAAGAAAGAAATAGGGCATTGTCCGGATCCAAGAAAAAGACAAAAAATGTCAAGGATCTTCAGTCAGGCACCTCCAGTAGCCTTCTCTGTTCTTCTTCGACGTCAGCAACTACCAGCGCACGTCAATTTCTCTCTTCTTCAACGATGTCTGCAGCTACCAGTGCATGTCAGACTTCTCTCGTCTCCAATGACGTCAGCAGCCACCTGCGCACGTCAGACTTCTCTCTTCTCCAACGACGTCAGCAGCCACCGGCGCACGTCAGACTTCTCTCTTCTCCAACGACGTCAGCAGCCACCAGCGCACGTCAGACTTTTCTCTTCTCCAACGACGTCAGCAGCCACCGGCGCACGTCAGACTTCTCTCTTCTCAAAGTTTCCAGTTTCCGGCTAGTGTCCAAGCTTCCTCTTGCTTCAGCCAGAGTTCAGCTTGAGGGGGGATGTTAGACAATAATACTAATAGTACTTCTAGTAGTATTGGTTATGGTAGTGTTTGATTATTAGTCAGTTTCCTACTCCTATTTGTGGTAGCTAGATGTTGTATGTTAGTTAGTTTCCATTCTCTATTCCTAGTTGTGTTAGGAGTCTCTCCTATATATACTCTATCATGTACTTCATAATTCAAAGAACAATATTATTATTCCAATATTTCAACACTTTTCAATCTGCGCGCATATATAGGCTCTGATCTTTTATACTGCAAAAGAATCCTCCAGACAAGAAGAGCTCCCACATCTGGAAATTTAGAGTTAACAACTTCAACTAGAGCTGCAAACACATCTGTAAAACCTTGGAAACGCCATTTGGGACTTCATACAAGACTGACAAACAGACCCCTCCCACGCATCAGGGTTCTCAGAAAACAATTCCGGAATTATATTATGTTCTTTATGTTTTATGCTCTTCCTAAGAGCATCCCAGGACCTCTTCTGGTATTCAACCCAGCTTTTGTCGCATCTCTCCCCCCATCATACCCAGCTTGAGAGGAGGATTATAAACTCCTCAAATCACAATGATCCTCTCCATGCATATTTTCTCTAATATAATCCCAATCACCAATTCACCATAAATAGAAAATTTACAAAACATAGAAGAAAAAAAAAACTCAATTCTTTGTAGTTTCATTAATGAACTGAAAAAAGGGATTGCAAACACAAAATTTGATTATTAAAACATTATAAAAAATATTTTTTTTAAAAAAAATAAAAAACATTTCTGAAAAAAATATTAGAAAAAAGAAAAACAATAAAGAATATAGGGAGTGTTTGTGCCAAATTCCAAAACCATAGAGGAAGTGGATCTATTCACACAATATAATATTTCAAAGATAATTTAGTCTAGAGGGGCATTGGCGTATCAATATCAAAACTATGAGGACCAACGACGTAAGTTTTAAAACTTAGGAGCTAATGATGTACATTTGCCAAACCATATATGGTCATCATGCAATAAACTCATTTTGTGAAACTAATTCCTGAGAGAAGTTCAGGTTTTCTCTCTTATTCTCTGCTTTGATGGATAGATTAATCGTGAGTAGATGTAATGGATATGTTAAAAATTTGTAAGGGTAACTGTGACTTTTTATAAAAAATGAAAAACAGTGACAAAAGTTGGGTTCGATTTAAATTTTTTTGGTTTGATTTTGAATATTTGGTTCAGATTTGAATATTATAAATTCTGGCCGGGTCGGTAAAGGTCGAATTCAGGTAGAATTGGCATCCTTAGAGGTAGTATATATACTCCCTCCGTTCTCAAAAAGAGTTCCTACTTTGAAAAAGTGGAAAAATAAAAAAATTTAAATTGTAGTTGACTTCCAATTTTGCCCTTGATGTGATGGGTAAAAGTAAGATGTGATGAGTAGATTATTAGAGAAAAAGTATGATGTGATAAGTAGGGTATTAAAAAGTAAGGGTAAAAGTGGTTTTTTAATAGAAAGTAGAAGTGTTTTGTTGGAAGTGAAAAAAATGAAAGAGGAAGTGTTTTTGAGAACGGAGGGAGTAGTAACGTTCAACGTTCGAAGATATATGTAAAGTGAAATTTGCACTTAATAGGACTAAAACATAAGTCATTTCTTAATGTAGTACTTAAACTTTTTTATTTCCATAAATATAACTTAATAATGACTACTGAAAAAAATAATGTCCAAGTGATGCTAGACATTTAGTTGAATAATGACTGATATATAATGAGCAATAGTCCTACATTGGAAAATAAAAACATATGGTCCTATATTGAGAAAGTTATTATATTTTAGTCCTATTTATGTAAATTTCTCTATATTTAAAACTATTTTGTGGTTAATTTTCTCGATCAAAGTCACACAATTAATCCTTCAAATTATTCAGATTGCCACTGAGGCATGTTCTCTTCAACTTATTTTTATTACTTATTTTTTTATTGGAATCAATTAAAATTAAAATTTAAATACAATTACATTTAGATGAGATCAAACTAGATTAAAACGTAATATAATCAGTTCAGATTCATTTAAGTTAGATGAAGATCGATAATAATATACCGTGAATAGATTTTTTTGTCGAGAATAGTTACCTAGCTATCAAATCTACTCATCATTTCTGATATGACGATTGATGCGTCCATGTTAACACAATAAATTGGATAGAAAACGAGTAGTCGTTTCATACCATACACATTACACACGATATAATAATTAGGAGTAGAGAAAAGAAATGATAATTAAAGGTTTACGGTAGTGCCAAAATCGCGGGGTACTATGGTCACGACTCTGGAATTTGGGAAATCTGATCTGAAAGATAGATCTATAGATGCATGGCCCCCGCCGGCCACATGCACCATATATTAACCACTCCCGCCCTACATGCATAACAATATAATAACACATGCATCTAGTTTAATTCATGAAAAAACTCACCCTAATTCCCCAGAAATATACTTCATTCGTTTTATAAAATGTTTATTTTGATTATTAAGAAAAATAAAGAGTGTATATTTATTTGTGATTGACTTTCCAAATTTACTCCTGATGTAATGGATAAAAATAAAATATAAGAGATAGATTATCAGTGAAAAAATATGCGTAGGATAAGAAGAAAAAAGGAAAATTTACTTAAATAGCATTAAAACATATGGATTTTCTCAAAATAGCATTACATGTGTTTTTTTTTTCAAATGTAGCGCTTTTAGTCATTATGCATTTGTCATTATTCAAGTAAATATATTCACTATCACTAGACATTAAGGACAATATTAAGTGCTATTTAGGGAATAAAATAGTTTAAGTGTTATTTAGTAAAATGAGTTAAGTTTTAGTGCTATTTAGTGCAAATATTTTTTTAAAAAAATATGAATAAAAGTGTTTTTTAGATAGAAAGTAAAGTGTTTTTGTAAGAGAAAAATGAATGACCTATTTTGGTGAAACGGAGAGAGTACTCCTCTCTATTTCTCTCGAGTATATAGATATAATAAAAAATAACATTGGTCAATTATTATCACATTATATCATAAAACAATTTTTAATCTTCGGGTACTTGGAAGCAGAAGAATTATTTGTTGTGTTTGAGAGTAATATCGTAAAATGGTGAATTTGTAAAAGGATTTACATCATTTTTTCCTTAATGCATTCATCCATCTTCAAAACATCAAATCATTAATCATTTCATATTCCCCGTTTCAATTTACATGATGTGTATATCATGCAACAATAACGGCTATCCATCTCAAATGTGACATTCTTTCCGGTTCACTCCTTCCGTTCTCAAAAAGAATTTTTAGTTCCACCAAGTGTAAAAAATAAGGAAGTGTTAAATTGTAGTTTATTTTCAATTTTACTCTTGATGCGATAAGTAAAAGTAAGAAGAGATGGATAGATTATTAGAAAAAAAGTATAATGTGATAGGTATGTTATAAAAATGTAATGGTAAAGTATTTAATTTTAATCGAAAGTAAAATTTTGTTGGAAGTG